AATTGTGAAATTCATGGCCCCAGGGTCAGGGGTTCTGGTGTAAGGGTGGGGCTCTGTTGATCATATAGTGAAATTGCATTAATTCTTTGAAAATCTTCTTCTCTGCTCCTGGGTATTAAATAAAGTAACTAAGTACATAGTTATGAAAAGCAAGAGTGCCTCTTCCAAAAGTGTGAAATTCATGGCCCCAGGGTCAGGGGTTCTGGTGTAAGGGCAGGGCTCTATTGATTATATAATGAAAATGCATTAATTCTTTGAAAATCTTCTTCTCTGCTCCTGGGTATTAAATAAAGTAACTAAGTACATAGTTATGAAGAGCAAGAGTGCCTCTTCCAAAATTTGAAATTCATGGCCCCAGGGTCAGGGGTTCTGGTGTAAGGGTGGGGCTCTATTGATTATGTAGTGAAAATGCATTAATTCTTTGAAAATCTTCTTCTCTGCTCCTTGGTATTGAATAAAGTAACTGGGTACATAGTTATGATGAGCAAGAGTGCTTCTACAAAAATTGTGAAATTCATGGCCCCTGGGTCAGGGGTTCTAGTGTTAGGGTGGGGCTCTATTGATTATCTAGTGAAAATGCATTAATTCTTTGAAAATCTTCTTCTCTGCTCCTGGGTATTAAATAAAGTAACTAAGTACATAGTTATGAGGAGCAAAAGTGCCTTTTGGAAAATTGTGAATTTCATGGCCCCATGGTCAGGGGTTCTGGTGTTAGGGCAGGGCTCTATTGATTATATAGTGAAAATGCATTAATTCTTTGAAAATCTTCTTCTCTGCTCCTGGGTATTAAATAAAGTAACTAAGTACATAGTTATGATGAGCAGGAGTATCTCTTCTAAAATTGTGAATTTCATGGCCCCATGGTCAGGGGTTCTGGTGTTAGGGCGGGGCTCTATCGACTATATAGTGAAAATGCATTAATTCTTTGAAAATCTTCTTCTCTGCTCCTGGGCATTAAGGTGATAAACTAAGTACATAGTTATGATGAGGAGGTAGGCCTCTTCCAGAATTATGAAAGCCATGGCCCCTGGGTGAGGGGTTCTGATGTTAGGGCGGGGCTCTATTGATTATATAGTGAAAATGCATTAATTCTTTGAAAGTCTTCTTCTCTGCTCCAGGGTATTATTTAAACAAACTAAGTACATGGTTATGATGCATAAGGATGCCTTTTCAAAAATTGTGAATTTCATGGCCCCAGGGTCAGCGGTTCTGGTGTTAGGGCGGGCTCTATTGATTATATAGTGAAAATGCATTGATTCTTTGAAAATCGTCTTCTCTGCTACTGGAGATTATTTAAACAAACTAAGTGCATGATTATGATGGGCAAGGATGCCTCTTCCAAAATTTTTAAATATATGGCCTCAGTTTTTGGGGTTCTTGAGGAGGGGGGGGGGGGGGGGCTCTATTGATTATATAGTGAAAAAGCATTAATTCTATTAATTAATCATTAATTAATCCTGTCTGCTCCTTAGCGTTGAGCTGATAAATAAATTGCTTAGCTATGATGAAAATGTGAGCTTCGAACAGAATTTTTAAATCTTGTGGTCCTAGGGTCAGGGGTTCTGGCATAACTGGGGGGGGGGGGGGGGGGGGGCTTTTGATAATATAGTGCAAAAGTGTTAATTCTTTGAAGTCCATAGGTATGATGATGAGGGTAACTCTTCCAAATTTGTAAATTTCTTGACCCTTGGTCTTGGGTTCTGGTGTTAGGGTAAGGCTTTGTTGAAGCATTGTACCTGTGAAATTCTTCTCTGCTTCTGGGCATATCGGAAGAAAACTGAGTAAAAGTTTAAATGATATAAGTAAGCGTATTTCTACCAGATTTTTGAACATCTGGACCATTTGTCTAAGCATTCTAGTCCTGGGCAGGGCTCTATTAATTTGTATTCTACTGAGAGAAGTTATTCCCCTTTTCCATTCACCTTTAATCACTGTAAATAATGTATTTGAAAGGTTAATAGAATAAGATAATTATGCAAGAATGTTTATCATATAATTCAAAAAGTATTTTCTTAGTTTTAATAATCAGGTTGACCTGTAAGTAATAGATAAATAAAAATGAGACAAAAATAACTTATCTTATTAAAAGTTCTTCAAAGACCATAAGAGAGGTCAATGCTAGAGCTCTTAATATGGGATTAAAAATAGTACTGAAGCACTAATAGTTTGTTAATAGTCTGTAGGGCTGGGACGATACAGCTTTTTCTATATCGATACGTATCACGATATTTGAGCCACGATACGATATGTATCACGATATGTTGAATTGGTTATAAAATATTTTTTGGAGTGAAATGAATGAAACATTTCTTCACAAATAAGAATAATTTATTCAAAGAAGTTGTGTATCTGTTGTAAAACAAAATCATTTTACCCAAGTGGTATTAATTATGTATTTCATGTTTATATTTAGCCTATTTATTATATATATTTAACCCAAAATGTTAAGTAAACAAAGAAAAACTCAAGTCAGAATTTTCTTTACGATATGTCGATATTTCTTCATACGTATCGATATGCGTATCATCCTCACATTGAATCGATATTATCGATATCTCGATATATCGTCCCAGCCCTAATAGTCTGCATGGTGATAGTGTTAAGTGGGGGACAGATTAGAACTTAATTTATGAGTTGATACTGAATACTAGACTAATTATTTTGTTGATCCTGATCTTCCTACTTCTCTTGCTTTAGGGCAACAAAGCTTCATCTATCAGTGTATTTAACTTCTAAATTGTTGTATTATACTCAGGTGACCGTTAAGGCCCTTGGGCCTCTTGTTTTATATTTCTTTTTAAGTATGTCCCACATATCTTAAAGCAGTTATATCATTAGGTTCCTTATTTTACAGATATTGATTGACAAATACTATGCCCTACAGTATCTAAGTGGAGTTTTAGATCTCTGTGTTTCCAGGCCCATTACTCTGTCCATTATGGGATTTTTTAAAGCATAGATAAAAAATATGTAAGTGGACATGTATTTTTTTAAATATTTCAGAGTATGAATAGGGTTTAAAATTCGACAAAGCAAGTTTCTTCTATCACACTGCATCTGGATAGGGAAAATTACGTTCCTTTTAAGACAACTTATTAAAATAAACAACAAAAAACTTAATTCAAAAAATTCTATCATTCAGATTTTTTTGAATTTACATAGAATTGCAAGTCCTTCATATTAATAATTAACTGTAAAAATTTTGAATGGTGAAACTGACCTCAATATTGCACAGGACATCGTTAAAGAAGACACAAGCATGACAAAAACGTGTCATGTTTACATTTTTCGAGTACGGGAAAAACCAACTATGACGTCACATGTAAGCTAAATAAGCTATATATCTACTTAAGATTCCTGTCATCAACCATGCAAAAATAATTTTTGTGTCCCCCATTTTCCAAATTATTTCATCGTATACTGATTATGACCTGTTTTTACATAATAAAACCGCCCCTGTATTCACCGAGTATGATCTTGCTGTACTAACAGATCGTGTATGATGTCACTGACTCTTTGGACGCGCAGTTTAGGGAAACAGAGGGGTCGATCAATCTATTTCATAATTTGTTAATGTTTACAAGAATGTTCAAACTTTTTATTTTTTTTTAATATAAGATGGTAATTAAAGTAAAATGAATTGTCAGAAATTTATACAAGAACTGATGGTTTTCACGTTTTGCACTTACGTAAACGGAGACTATGATGTAGTTAAACAGTCATGTGACCATGTATCCTTCATCCCCATAATTTGAATGAATTGACCGTAAATTATTCTACAAACTATTAGTCCTCAAAAATTAAATCATGCTTTGTAGCTTTTTTTACGAATGCCAAATTTGACTGAATACCAATCTTGACCAAAAAATGAATTGAACTGAAAATGGAGATTTTGTACTTTGTATCAAACTGACAAAAAATACCGCAGTGAATCGATACCAGAGAACTGTTTCACTGCTATTGTTGATGTTATCCCAGAAATAAATACAGGTCAAAATGTAAGGGATAGGTGGGTAACAAAAGGAGATCAAAGATTAGGAGCAAATGTACAGAAAAAAATCTTTTGAAAATTTCTTTCAAAGAACATTGGGGCCACAAACTAAATCATACTATTGTGCAAGCATCCCCAGATAGGGCAGATTCAAATTTATTAGTCCCCTACCGATGAAACTGGAGGGGACTACAGGTTTCCTCTGCATCTGTCCGTCCATCTAGCTCTCTGTCCCTCTGTCAATCTGTCCCATTTGGTTTTCCACACTTTTTCCTAAATGCTATGATCAGATACTGAGCTGATTTTTGATATATGAGTGTATCTTGATGAGTTTCAGATCAAGTTTGCATTTCGTTACACTTCATTGATTTTTCACAGAATTACGACCTTTTCAAGGGTTTTCAGCAATTTTTTTCTAAACGCATGCAGATATCGAGCTGATATTTGGTATGTGACTTTACCTTGATGAGTTATAGATTAAGTATGCATTTTGTTCCGCTTCAATGGTTTTTGACGGAATTATGGCATTTTCAATTTTTAACGGGAATCAGATTACACTTGCCGATAGGGGACTAGTATTGTTAATGCAATACTCTCTCAGAATGCTTGTTCAATCTGTGGCCACGGGCTTTAAGTTAGCAACAATAAACGATCAAAATGAAATATACAATATAATTTTTTTTTTTTCAAAATAGCAGCAGTGCAACAGTATCCAAATATAGTGCAGATTCTCATTTCTTATAATCATAACTCCTTGAGCTAATTAAGATAAAGCTAAAAATTTTCTTAGAAAAATATAATAGGTAATTTAAAAAAAAAAAAATTTCAGGAGTAGCAGGGTAACTGGAACCCATATTCCTGTGATGTGTTTATGTAAGTGTGTTCAAAAAGTGGACACTGGGGTTAAGGTAGGACTAAAATTGGGAATCAAATTTTACACAATGTAAAGGGAGGAGGGGGGGGGTTCTTGGTTATGTTTTCAGTTTCACTTCTTTGGTTAATAATGCAGGTCCCCGAGAGGAGTGAGGCAGGATTTGTGATTGGAACACTGAGGAGTGAAGACCCAGATAACAGTAGGATGGAAGAACAGACATTTGTTTACAGTCTGGAGAATGATGCCAAAGGTCGAGTAGAAGTCAAAAGTGACCAGCTACTGGCAAGTTAATATATTTGACTTTAGATAATCACAATATGAAAACTAGAAGACACTAAAGAATGTACTGTTAATTAAACTTCTCTGCTTATGATTGATAGTGCTTGTGAAGTAATATCATAAAACAGATATTTTCTGTGATTGGAAATTTTTGTGATTTGCCCTCAAAGGCAAAAATCCGTCGGTCCTGTTGGCAAGGCCGGTAAAAATTTGTCTGGACCGACAACTTTTAAGAAAACGTCGGTCCAAATGACCGTTTGAAAAATCAAGCGTGATGCAAATTTAATAAAGGTCGGGATTGGGATGCGTAGCTGAAGGTCACAAACACAGAAAAAATTGGCCGCGTACGCGGCGTGTTGACGATAGCCAATTAAATTTGTTATAGCAAAGTCATAAAACGTGTCATTTATGTCTTTTATTAAAGACTTTCTATCCCAAGGAAGGAAACTTGTAAGACTGAAGGCTGTTGAAAATAATCCAGGGCATTTTGGTGCTGTTATTCATATGACTTTCACAGCGTCAAAATAAGGTACATGTATCTGGTATGACAAAACTTTGACTGGTCCGACAGAACATTTGACTTTGTCAGACCAAATGTCTGACAATGATTTAAAAATTTCGACAAGTCTGCAAAGGTAGCAAATTAATTTCTGCCTTTTTCAATTTTTCTGGTTGCATTATACTGCAGAAAAGGTAAATCAGAATTGTTAAGTAAATCTGCTGATCTTCTGTCTCTCAGCTGTTTTTGTATATTGTTTTCAAATCAGATTTATTTCATACCCTGGTAAGCAATTTTTTTTTCCATTATGAATTTAAGGGTTGAAAAATCAGGCAAGAAACTACCTTGACATACATGCCAGTGTTTGTGAATAAAGAATGAATTTTATTAAGATTTACAGAATGTTTTTGCAATTGTATTTTTTATGGATTTGTTCTATCTGCAAAATACTGCAAAAATTGTAAAATCGCAGATAATATATATAGTATACCAGCAAAATCTGTTAAAGGGGGGGGGGGGTTCCTTAATTTCTGTACATAAATAGTAATCAACATTCTTAAGAATCCTTGCACAGAGAGAGTGAGAGGATCAGAAATGAGTAATTTTTGATCGGAGTATTATACCACTGCAAACAAAGTTTTGGGGGCATATAGGAATCACCTTGTCTGTTAATTTTTTCGGTGTAATAAAAAACAATGTTATTATTAGTATTGATGTTTTATTAGGCTGTGCCTTAGTTTCATTCATTAAAAATATAATGAGCAATTACCTGTAAATTTTCACTCTAAATTTTTAAACAAATTGTGAACACCTTCATCAAATACTGGTATTAATGACTTGGCACCTTCTCTGAAAAACCCAGCGGGGGGGGGGGGGTATTTGTCCATTTTACATTATTACATATTACATTAAATTCATTTCACTTATTTTACGATGAAGAATTTAAAAATGTGGCACCTGTAATTATTTTGTGTGATGATTTTGGCAGATAAAGAGGTCCAGACACCTGTGTGATGACCAGCCTTGTCAGTTTGACTTTGAGAAAGAGCCTAGTGTCAATATCAGGGTGATGGTCACTGATTCAGGTTTCCCACCCCTGACCTTTGTTAAAACATTAACTTTGGAGGTTAAAGATGAGAATGATCCTCCACAGGACATTAGACTGGCAGGAAACTCCATTGCTGAGGGAAACACTCCAGGAACTGTTATAGGTACATAACTATGTAGATAAGTCATACTTTTACAATTCTTTAATTCTGATGGTTTCATCCAAAGAGTTGCAACAGTATCCCTCATTAAGAACGTTTAAGACTTTTAAGGCTCAAGTGAGCTTTTTTTTTTTTAGCCCACCTGAGCCGAATTTGAGCTATTCTGATCGAAATTTGTCCGTTGTCTGTCGTCTCGTCGTCATTGTAAACTTTTCACATTTTCATCTTCTTCTCAAGAACCACTAGTCCAATTTCAATCAGACTTGTCTCAAAGTATCCTTGGTAAAGGGGATTCAAGTTTGTTCAAATGAAGGGCTACGCCTTCTTCCAAGGGGAGATAATTATAAATTTGTGAAAAATTAAAGGCATCATTTAAAAATCTTGTTCTCAAGAACCACTGTACTTGAAAATATGAAACTTATGTGGAATCATTGTGAGGTAGTGTAGATTCAATTTTGTTCAAATCATGACCCTTGGGGGTAGGGTGGGGCCACAATGGGCGATCAAAGTTTTACATAGGAACACATAGGAAAAATCTTCCAAAATCTTCTTCTCAAGAACAGCAAAGCCATGATTAGTCATATTTAAATGGAAGTATCCTCAGGTAGTGTAGATTCAAGTTTGTTCAAATCATGACCCCTGGGGGTAGGATGGGGCCAAATGGAGGGATCAAAGTTTTACATAGGAAAAATCAACAGCAGCCATTTTGTGTCATATTAATTCAAAAGCAATCTTAGGAAGTGTAGATTCAAGTAAGTTCATATCATCCTCCCTGAACCATTTTTATATTTAAACTTTACAAGACTGAACCAATGTCTGCTTTTTCCTAGCCAAAGTGCTCAGGTGAGTGATGTGGCCCCTGGGCCTCTTGTTAGGTCACCTGAGCCAAAGGCTCAAGTGAGCTTTTCTGATCAAAATTTGTCTGTTGTCTGTTGTTTTGATGTTGCAATAAATTTTTAACAATTTCATCTTCTATAGAACCACTGGGCCAATTTCAACCAAACTTGCCACAAAGTATTCTTAAGTAAAGAGGGTTTAAGTTTGTTCAAATGATGGGCCACACCTTCTTCCAATGGGAGAAAATTACAAATAAGTGAAAAATTAATGGCATCATTTAAAATTCTTCTTCTAAAGAGCCACTGGACCAGGAAAGGTGAAACTTAAATGGAAGCATTCTCAGTGCAGATTCATTTTTCTTCAGATCATGACCCCCAGGGGTAGGGTAGGGCCACAATGAGTGATCAAAGTTTTACATAGGAATACATAGGAAAAATCTTCAAAATCTACTTCTCAAGAAAGTAAAGCCAAGCTTGGTCATATTTATATGGAAGCATCCTCAGATAGTGTAGACTCAAATTTGTTCGAATCATGATGTCTGGGGGTAGGGAGGGCCCACAATGAGCACTCAAAATTCTTCATAGGAATACAAAGGAAAAATCTTTAAAAATCTTCTTCTTAGGAACAGCAAAGCTGTGATTGGTCAAATTTATTTGGAAGCATCTTCAGGTATGGAAGATTCAAGTTTGTTAAAATCACGATACCCAGGGTTAGGATAGGGCCAAAATGGACAATCAAAGTTTTACATAAGAGTACATAGGAAAAATCTTAAGAAATCTTCTTCTTAAGAACAACAAAGCCATGCTTTGAGCTGAGTCATATTTATGTGAAAGCATCTTCAGGTTGTGTAGAAATCAACACCCTGGGATAGGTTGGGGCAACATTAGTCAATCAAAGTTTTACATAACAAAAAATGGGGAAAAAATCTTTAAAAATCTTCTTGAGATCAGCAAAGCCATGGTTAGTCCTATTATTTGTTATCTTCCACAGATAGTATAGATTAAGTTTGCTATCCCCAGGGTAGGATAGGGCCACAATAGGTGAGTTTTACATGAGAATATATAGGGAGAATCTTTCAAATTTTCTTCTCAAGATCAGCAAAGTTATGACTGTTTATATTTATAAGGTAGCATTCTCAGGTTGTGTAGATTCAGATTTGTTCAAGTCATGACCCCCAGTGGGTGGGGTTTGGCCACAATATGTGATCAATGTTTTACATAGGAATAGATGGGGAAAACTGTTGAAGAACAACAGGGCCATAGTTATTCAGGTGAGCATTGTGGCCCATGAGCCGATTGTTAATAGGTTGGGAAAACTTATATGTTTATACATTTCAATACTGAACTGATTTCTGCATTTTTCTAGCCATAGTGCTCAGGTGAGTGATGTGGCCCATGAGCCTCTTGTTGACAATGCTTTTTTAGCTCACCTGAGCCGAAGGCTCAAGTGAGCATTTCTGATCACATTTTGTCTGTAGTCCGTCTGTAAACTTTACACATTTTCAACTTCTTCTCTAGAACCACTGGGCCAATTTCAACCAAACTTGCCATAAAGTATCCTTGGGTGAAGGGGATTCAAGTTTGTTCAAATAAAGAGCCACACCCTCTTTCAAGGGGAGATAATAAAGAATTAGTGAAAAATTAATAGCATCTTTTAAAAATCTTCTTCTCAAGAACCACAGCCAGGGAAGATGAAACTCATGTGGAAGCATCCTCAAGTAGTGTAGATTCAAGTTTGTTCAAATCATGACCCCCAGGGGTAGGGTGGGGCCACAATGGAGGATCAAAGTTTTACATAGAAATATATAGGAAAAACCTTTAAAAATCTTCTTCTCAAGAACAGCAAAGCCATGATGAGTCATATTTATATGGAAGCATCATCAGGTAGTGTAGATTCAAGTATGTTCAAATCATGACCCCCAGGGGTAGGGCGGGGCCACAATGGAGGATCAAAGTTTTACAAAGAAATATATAGGAAAAATCTTTAAAAATCTTCTTCTCAAGAACAGCAAAGCCCGAATTGGTCATATTTATATGGAAGCATCCTCAGGTAGTGTAGATTCAAGTTTGTTCAAATCATGACCCCAGGGGGTAGGGCGGGGCCACAATGGAGGATCAAAGTTTTACATAGAAATATATAGGAAAAACCTCTAAAAATCTTCTTCTCAAGAACAGCAAAGCCGAATTGGTCATATTTATATGGAAGCATCCTCAGGTAGTGTAGATTCAAGTTTGTTCAAATCATAACCCCAGGGGGTAGGGCGGGGCCACAATGGAGGATCAAAGTTTTACATAGAAATATATAGGAAAAACCTCTAGAAATCTTCTTCTCAAGAACAGCAAAGCCATGATGAGTCATATTTATATGGAAGCATCCTCAGGTAGTGTAGATTCAAGTTTGTTCAAATCATGACCCCCAGGGGTAGGGTGGGGCCACAATGGAGGATCAAAGTTTTACAAAGAAATATATAGGAAAAATCTTCAAAAATCTTCTTCTCAATAACAGCAAAGCCCGAATTGGTCATATTTTTATGGAAGCATCCTCAGGTAGTTTAGATTCAAGTTTGTTCAAATCATGACCCCCGGGGGTAGGGCGGGGCCACAATGGAGGATCAAAGTTTTACATAGAAATATATAGGAAAAATCTTCTTCTCAGGAACAGCAAAGCCCTGATTGATCATATTTATGTGGAAGTATCCTGAGGTAGTGTAGATTCAAGTTTGTTCAAATCATGACCCCCTGGGGTAGGGTGAGGTCATAATGGAGGATCAAAGTCTGAAATAGAAATATATAGGAAGATATCTTCTGATGAAGAACTGCAAAGCCATGATTAGTCATTTTGATCTAGTGTAGATTCAAGTATGTTAACATGATGACCCCAGGGGATAGGGATGGGCCATAATGGGGGATCGAAAATTTTACATAGGAACATATTGGAAAATATCTTCTTCTCAAGAACTGAAGAACATGTTTAGTCATTTTGATATGGAAGCATCCTCAGGTAGTGTAAATTCAATTTTGTTCAAATGATGACCCCCGAGGGTAGGGTGGGGCCCAATAGGGGGATCGAAAGTTTTACATAAGAACATATAGAAAAAATATTTCTTCTCAAGAACAGAAAAGCTATGTTTAGTCATATTGATATGGAAGCATCCTCAGGTAGTGTAGATTCAAGTTTGTTCAAATGATGACCCCTGGGATAGGGAGGAGCCACAATGGGGGGTCAAATTTTTACGAAGGAATATATGGGAAATTTTTTTTTTTTAAATCTTCTCAAGTACAACAAAGCCATTTGTTATATATTGACATGGAAGCATCATCGGGTAGTTTAAAATTCAAGCCCCCCCCCCCCCCCCCCCCCCCCCCCGGTAATCTTTTCAATACTGAACTGATTTGTCCTTTTGCCTAGCCAATGTGCTCAGGTGAGCGATGTGGCCTATGGGCCTCTTGTAATTTTTTTCCCATTTGAACTAAGAATTTTTATTGCTGCATGTGAAACAAGTTTCTTTTCTTTAAAAGGCAGACTTGTGGCTATTGACCAGGATGTTGGACAAACCTTGATTTTCACCCTTTTGAATAACACTGATGTATTTGTGCTAAAGGGCGATAACTATATAGCTGTAATTCCAAGCTTAGATTATGAACAGCAGTCAATGTATGCCTTGTCTGTTAGGTGTAGAGATGATGGCGAGGATTCAAAGTCAGTGAGTTGAATCATGATGTCCCGTTATATTCATGAAAGCTTTAGTATCAGTAGTATGTACAGTCAAACTCAGTTATAAGGAGTCACTGGAACCCCGAATTTTGCTTCCTTATAATCAAGCTTCTTTATATCTGTTTTAGGAAAGTAGTGAAAAGTCATCTATGAGATTCATAAAAAGTTCCTTGTAACCCAGATTTCCTTATAAGGAGTTTTTTTATAACCAAGTTTACTGGACATTTTTTATTTAAGATATTTTTCCAGCAGTAGTTATGAAAACTAAATTTTTAAAATATGAAGTGTTGTTTCTTTTATTTATTTAGATTTGCCTTCTTTCAATAAAAGAATAATGTTTTATTTTTAAAAGAGAGAAAAAAAAAGTTGGGTTTTTTTATCAAGTCAAGAATTCTTTAGCTGTAACTTCAGAATAGACTTTAGAAAAGTAATAATGGAGGAAAAATATTCCAGGTAGACTCTGTTGTGACTATTAATATACTGGATGTAAACGAGCCCCCAAGCTTCACTGGAGTAATGGATATAACAGTAGAAGAGAACAGAGAGACGGGGGAGGTAATTGGAACAGTCACTGCCACAGATCCTGATCTGGAAGAACAGCTTTTGTTTACTGTAACTAGAGGATACAACCACTTTGTGACTGCCAATACCACGTGCCTTACAGAGGTATTGATACAACAACTGAACAATTACCAAATGTCTGAACAATTAAGTAGGAATTGAGTCAATTAATTTTCAGCCTCAAAGGAATTATTTTTAGTTCACCTGAGCTGAAAGCTCAAGTGAGCTTTTCTGATCACATTTTGTCCGTCGTCCATCCGTCTGTAAACTTTTAACAATTTTGACTTCTTCTCAAGAACCAACTGGGCCAATTTCAACCAAACTTGCCACAGAGTATCCTTGGTTAAAGGGGGTTCAAGTTTGTTCAAATGAAGGGCCAAGCCTTCCTCCAAGGGGAGATAATTAGAAATTAATGAAAAATTAACGTCATCTTTTAAAAATATTCTTCTTAAGAACCACTGGGCCAGGAAAGATGAAACTTATATGGAAATATCTTCAGGTAGTGTAAATTCAAATTTGTTCAAATCATGACCCCCAAGGGTAGGGCAGGGCCGGGCCACAATGGACGATCAAATTTTTACATAGGAATACAAAGGAAAAATCTTTAAAAATCTTTTTGACAAGAACCAATGGGCCAGGAAAGATGAAACTTATATGGAAACATCTTCAGATAGTGTAGATTCATATTTGTTCAAATCATGACCCCTGAGGGTAGGGCAGGGCCACAATGGACGATCAAATTTTTACATAGGAATACAAAGGAAAAATCTTTAAAAATCTTTTTGACAAGAACCAATGGGCCAGGAAAGATGAAACTTATATGGAAACATCTTCAGATAGTGTAGATTCATATTTGTTCAAATCATGACCCCTGAGGGTAGGGCAGGGCCACAATGGACGATCAAAGTTTTACATAAGATTACATAGGAAAAATCTGTAAAAATCTTCTCAAGAACAGTTGCGCCATAATTGGTCATATTTATATGGAAGCATCCTCAGGTAGTGTAGATTCAAGTTTGTTCAAATTATGACCCTCCTGGGGGTAGGGCGTTGCCACAATAGAAAATAAAACTTATAGGGAAAAAAATCTTTAAAAATTTTCTACAGCCATGATTTGGCAAAGAAATATGGAAGCATCCTCAGTTAGTGTAGATTTAGGTTTCTTCAAATCATGCTCCCCCCACTCCTCCCCTTAGGGGTAGGTTGAATGCTGAACTCCTAGCCAAAGTGCTCAGGTGAATGATGTGGCCCATGGACCTTTTGTTCAAACTTTTAAGAAATTTTTATGAAGAACTTTGTTTTTGTTCTTATGTTTATGTGTTTTCTTTGTACTTCTCAGTCAGGACAGGGCACTCGCTGTGTTGCTAGTGTTTCCCTGAAGCAGCGTTTAGACTATGAGATTATGTCTATCTTCACTCTGACAGTGTCTGTACAGGATAGTAGTGGTCTGACTGAGTCTTCCAACTTCAGGGTCCATGTACAAGATGTCAATGAATCTCCAACTGTAAGTTTTTACTTCTGGTTCTATTTACAAGATATCAGTGAACCTCTATCTGTAAGTCTTAGCTTAGGGTTCCATTTACAAAATATCAGTGATCACTCAATTGTAAATCATAACTTCAGGGTCTGTTTACAAGACATCAGTGAACCCCCAACAGTAAGACATAATGTCAACTCTGTATTCTCATAATCAGAGTGGTCTCATGAAGTTTTTTTTTAAAAAGTTTGACTTCCAATTCCTGGGTTTATGCTTATCATATAGTATGAAATGGTTTTATAGAATTCAGTGGGCTTACATACCGTGTAAGCAGAATTTTTAGCGAGGATTCAATTTTGGCATTATTAGCAAGGGTTTGAGATTGCTAGAATTGAATATTGCTAACAATTTATACCCTATTGGTTGTTCTAAGCTATCTTTCTTGACATTATAAAATCAATAAGATTACTTGTTTGCTAAACATAAACACATTTTTGGGGGATATATCGCTAAATTTGCGTCTTGCTTAAAATTCCACTTATACAGTATTATTACAACCCAGATAAAAACATTTTTTAAACATTTCTTTTTCAGAGTATCTTGTTAAATGGAAAGTCATTAACTTCACTGTCTGTGAATGAAATGACACAAGATGAGACAATTGCAGAGTTGTCAGCCCTTGATCCAGATCAACATCAATTTCACAATTTTTTTCTTGTGTCAGGAGAGAAAGAGAATTTTGAAATTGTAAAAAATAAACTCAGGGTAAGTCACATGGAAAAGAAATGATTCACTGAACAAGAATGTTTAATTCTCAAGTGATTATCAACTAATGCTGGAGATGACTCAACTAGTCTTTAAAGATTGAAGTATTATACATAAAGATCACTAGTAGGTTATGAATTGTTCAGGTTTTTATCCTGTTTAGGTAAAGGCTAGTGCAGTGATGGATTTTGAAACAAAAGCTGAACACAGACTGACCATAGAGATAACAGACAATGGTTTACCTCCCTTGTCATTGCAAGAGAAAATCACAGTTCATGTAGAAAATTTGAATGAAGCACCAGATGCCTTAGATTTGGATAACAACAGGGTAAAAAAGAATTTATGTGAATGAACTTTTAAATTAATGTCAAAAAAAGTTGAATTTAAAGGAAATGATGAATTGTGAATTTACAGTGCTTCTTTTGGCACAAGCATTATTTAACACTTTTTTCCAAGTAGTTTATGCTTCATGAATCTTCAATTTTCGAAAATTGTAATCAAGAATTAGAGAAATTATGATTTCTAACTGTATTTGTAGACAAAATATTGTATCATTGTAATATGATAAATAAGCTTGTACAAGATGACTTATGCAGAAATAAGATTATTTCAGAAAAAAACAAGAAGTTTGTGAGCCAATGCTCACTAGTAATACCCCCACTCTGATGTGGATACACAAGTTCAGTTATGGACAGACACAGGGATAAACAGGAAGTTGACATCGGATTTGTACAGAAATGAATCCCACCATATGGCATACCTAAACAGTGTGCTAAACTTTCAAGTATCTGCGATGAGTAGATGCAAGAAAAAAATTTGTTATGTATGGTCCAGGGAGATGCATGGATAAACAGGAAAATGAATCCCATCTTATAGCATTGCATAAGCCAAGAGTATGCTAAAATTTCAAGCATCTGCTATGAGTAGTTGCTGAGCAAACTGCGAAAAAAAAATTTGTTGCAGACAGATTGTACAAATCCAATGTCAACTTCTGTTTATCCATGCATTTGTCCATGCCGTACTTAACAAATTTTCCTCACAGTTTTCTCAGCAACTACTCATTGCAGATGCTTGAAAATTTAGCACTCTTTGTTGAGGCATGCCGTATGGTGGGATTCATTTTTGTACGAATCTGATGTCAACTTCCTGTTCATCCCTGTGTCTGTCCGTAACCGAATTTGTGTACATTCTTATCAGAGTGCATATACACATCAAAGAGGGGGTATTACTAGTGAGCATTGGCTCACAGAATTCTTGTTGTGGTTGCATTAAAGATGAACATTTGTTTTTTTTTTTTTGCTAAGGTTCCAGAGAACACTCCAGAGGGTGAGATGATTGGTCAACTGTTGACTACTGATCCAGATAACAGAAATGCAGACATTCAGACATTTACTTATACAATATTGACCAATCATGAGGGCAGGTTTAAAATTGTAGGAAATCAACTCCAGGTATCCCAGTTCTTTTTGTTAAAAAAATGTTTGGAAGAAGAAAAACTGCATATTTATATCTGTTAAAATGTTTTCTAAGATAGGCAAGGCAAATTCCGAGTGCCATAAGACTAGGGTATATACCTGTGGTGTTAACTTTGAGGAGTCTGATGCATATAATGTGACCATTATGGTGACTGATAGTGGACTTCCTCCTCAGAGCAAAGCATTCAAGCTGACAGTATACGTGACAGATGTCAATGACAGACCTACAAATCTGACTTTGTCAGGTAATTGAAATTGCTTTCTTTTTTCCTTAGAAAGTAAATTATTGCTGGTGTTTATTTGGAAACCATATCAGAATGTTTAAAGTCATTCATAGTACAATACGGAGGCAGTGGAATGCAGAATTTTCTAATCAGAGTTAATTGCAGTTCTTTGATTAACAGGTCAATCATATCAAAATCTTATTAATGTTAAATTGTCCATCATTGAATTCATTTATTTAATGTTTTCTTTGAAGACATTTTCTTTGAGACTTTTGCAGTATTTGAAAATGTATGTTAATAAAAATAATGTTTTGATTAATCCACAGTGAATTGTACAACCCAAATTTATCAACAGTGAATTGTACAACTGATAATTGTACAACTGATAATCATTGGACACATTTTTGAAAACAGGACACAAAGTTCAGAGTCTGGCATCAAAAGATGCTGTGATTGGTCAGCTTCTAGTGATGGATGAAGATGTTGACCAGTCACACGTCTTCTCTTTGGCATCTGGTGGTGATGGTCAATTTCTGGTCAGCAGTGAGGGTCAGGTTACCAAGGCAACAGACCAACCTCTAAAGAGTGGGCATATTTATAATATTTCTGTGGAGGCCATTGATGATGGACAGCCACCTTTAAAGGTTCTTCTTCAATTTATTTATAGGAACATGTTTGGTCATAGTGTTAAGCAAAACCCAGTCTATACAGTTTAAATATCTGTCTGTCCCTCTTGGACATGATGCTTTCAAAAATTGTCATTATAGTTGGCCTATCTTGACCTTTGATCTTGAAGTAGGTAAATAATAAGTTGTCAGTTTCAATATGTGTAGGCCACCAGATAGTTTTCTTATACTTTGATTATATGTAGCTTATAGTATTGATAAAGGCATTGATCAATGTCCTGAAAATTACCTCCAACATCCTGTTAACAAACTTCTGTAGTTTAATAGTATGATTTGAAATAATAAATGTTTGAACCTATTTTTCAAATTGAAATTCCATTATTTGTGCATCCATAACAAGGTTGTGGAGTACAATTTTCAGTCAAAAATAGGCTTAGACACAAGTCATGTGTCTAGAGAAACTTAAAGATCAAGGTCAAAGATAGTGATAGATGAGCATTGTGAACAAGTTAAAAATGGTCTTTGTTAAAAAAACAAAGATGATTTTGATGAAAGAATTGTAACTTTTATGTTTTGAATCATCATGAATTACACGTTCTTTTTGGTATCTTAAAGGTGACTTCCAATTTTCAAATAGCAGTTCTTGGAGGGAAGACACCTGTCAGTGTAAACTTCACTTCAGAAGGAGGAGTCAAAACCTTCCCTGTCAATCATCCTATTGTCATGGAAAACTCTCCTGTTGGCACGGTGATTGGATCCCTGGAGGGTGTAACTTATGGTGTGGATGAGATATTAACCTTCTCTTTTGAGGTGAAGAACAAGGAAAATCCTTTCAGGACTGAGAATGTCAGTTGTAATACGGAAGTGAGTAAGCAATATTTATTGACTTTAAAGTGATTTTTTTATTACAATTGATGAAAAGAAATGTGTCTGTTGTGAGCATTGTGACTTGTGCATCTTTTCGTTATTATAGACTGACTTGACCAGCTGCACTGTTTCTGTGAAGATAGAAGAAGTTCTTGACTTTGAGAAGCAGCCATTGCTGTCAGTAGCTGTTACTATTGAGAATGGTGAAGGAGGAAAATTGGTTGAAATGTTTGAAGTTACCATTGAAAATGAAAATGAGGCTCCACAGGTAATTACTCCATAATCTCTGAAAAGTATATTCTAACCTTTTTTTGATTTAATACGGGTTATGAAATGTCTTGGTATGTGTAAATAATGGGTATTTTAATTTGATTTTCCAAGTTTGCAGACTTTTCATATTTATTTTCACCTACAGTTACAGTTGAGGTGAAACAGTTCACCGTGGTATTTTTTTCTCGGTTTGATACACGGTACAAAATCTCAATTTCGGTGCATTTCATTTTTTCATCGGGATTATTATTCAGTCAGGTTTGGTATAAGTAAAAACATGCAACTTGGCATAATTTGATTTTAAAAATGTAAATTTTTTGACTGATAGTTTGTAAATTTATCTTTAACAGTCAAATCATTGTAATTAATTAATTTCAGTCAAGTTGCACATAGATTTATTGACATGATTTAGTGAAAAAAAACATAAACAACGTTGAAATTGATTCCTTGTGTATCATTTCAAAAATACCCAGAGCAAGACAAAATTATATGATACATATTGTATTGTGAAGAAATCGTATTGTTTCACCCCTATAGTTAATTTGTTTTTCTGTGACTTTTTTAAGCCCTCATGATCAAAGATTTAGAGGCATATTATTTTTTGGTCTGCCTGTAACTTTAACTTATGGATTTGATATGATAGACACTTCATATTTTGTCATATTGAAGATAAAGGTTACCCAGTAATATCAGATAAAGGTCATAATTGAGGTCAAAGTAATATATATCTGTTACTATTTGGACCATGGTGTTTCACAAGCATATCTTGTTTTTTCTGTGTTTTTGACAGGATATCCAAGCAAGCCGTCAAGATTTAGTTATTCCAGAAAACACCCAGGGACTGGTGACCATCTTCCAGGTAACTGATCCAGATGTGTATGATACTCACTCCTTTACCTTGCTGGACGAAACTGGTGAAAAGTTTACGGTCAACTCACAAGGACACTTGTCTACAAGAAGAGGTATTCGATTGTTAATGTAGAAATGAAACTTAATAATGACTGTGGTAATGATAGCAAATGATAATAAATACATACCCTGAAATTAGACTTTTACTAAATAAGCTGAGTGAAGGGATTTATACTGTCAAAATAATGAACATACATGTAAATTAACAGAATGCAAAGTTAGAATAGCACATATTAAAGTGAATGCAATTCTTTTTCAGGTGTAGTAATAGACTTTGAGGAGAGTCCACATGTTAACATCACAATTAAAGTTGCAGACAGTGGAGGACTTACACTGAAGAAAAACTTCACCATACAGGTGGAAAATATCAATGAAAAACCCATTCAAGTCAGTCTCTTAAACAATAAGGTTAGAAAAAAAGTTATATAATATTCAAAGTTGGACTACTTTTCATGAACTGAATTCAGTAGGGTATACCTCTCCTCTATATTAACTATGTTGAATTCAGGTGAAGGAAATGAGTGATCCTGGGACAATTATAGGTCAGATAGTGACAGGGGATCCAGACTTCAATCAAACTCACACTTACAAATTGCTGGATGATGCTGGTGGCAGGGTCCTCATTCAGGGAAAGACTCTTCAGGTACAAAAAAATATACCTTACTGTGTTTTTAGGAAATAAAAGTCAGGGTTAGAAACTCCCTAAAATTACAACTCGCAAATAATTGCGAGTACCAAGAAAGTGAACTCGCAATTTTATAAGACTACTCGCAATTTTCATATAAAGTTAAATTTATATAAATTAAATACATGTAACTTAAGAAAAAAGTAACTACTGTACAATACACAAAATACAACTACAGTGTGACTTTTATTTAAATTACTGATTTAAATCAAAGGCATTGTGTTCTGTCATATTATATAATTTTGCTACAGTTTCAATGCAAAAAAAATCAACTAGCAAGTTTTTGCGAGTTACCTAATTTTTAACTCGCAATTTGGGAATTCTAACTCGCCTTTTGCGAGTTGTATATAGTGAATTTTGAACCCTGAAAGTGCATTAATTAGAAAATAAACAGTAAAGTAGTAAGCATTTAAATATCAAATGCAAGCCACATTCATTCATATTTCAATATAGCCAACTTTGACATTGATGGAGGACTTGTAAATGGTTCTATGATATTTAGGTTGCTGCCAAGGGGAATAAGTGTGAAAAGATAGGTGGAACCTCCTGTTTACTAGATTATGAATCTGAGAGAAGCTTTAATGTTGTGGTCAGTAGCCAAGATTCAGGATTTCCCCCTTTGAATCTGACTAAATCCCTCGCAATAGATGTGACAGATGTCAATGACCCCCCTCATGACCTTGTACTGAGTCTAAAGAATCTACCAGAGGATACAGTGGTTGGGAAGCTGGTTGGGACATTGGAGGTATTCTTGAAGCTTGACTTGCAGTTAGAATGTAAGTAGAATCTGTTGACTATTTATTTTGCATTGTTCTTATTTGAAACTCTAAGGTCAGTAATGCAGAATCAGAACAGACGGTGACCTTTAGCACAGAGATGGAGGCTGGAATGTTCACAGTGGAGGGTAACTCACTGGTACTAAAAAAGGCACTGGACTATGAAACAACACCTGTGTACAACCTGACTATCACAGCAACAGATAATGGTTTGCCTCCTGCTAAGGTAAGTTCAGTTACCATCAATATCGAGGAGGACAGTGTTATATAGATTACGCTGTGTTCAAGATTTATCGTCTGTTGTAAAGAATCCCCAATGCACACTTGAAAAATAAAAGATTATCAACAGCTGTTTATGTAAAAATTAGTCAAATTTCAATGAAAATTCTGGCAGATTTCAGAAACTTACCAGGTAAATGTGGTTGATGTGAATGAAGCTCCATTTGACCTACTGGTCACATCAAGCAATGGAAACACCAAATTCCCAGAAAACAACCCAGTCATTGCAGAGAATTCTCCTACAAATATTCTGATTGGTCAAGTAATGGTACAGGACTATGACATCATGGATGTTATTACCATGGGAACGACTAGTGTGCAAGTTGGCTTATTCAATCAACATTGTCTGCCTTTAGCAAAAGTACTTCCCCATCTTGATTTCTTGAAACATTTCTCATTATACAAATTACATTAATACAAGCAGAAAATACTTTGAAATTTATGAAATGCCTGATTGACTTCAGATGGTGCACTGCACAGCAGATTTGAGGGCATTGGTTTCATTGGACTATGAGGCAACACAACAGCTGACCTTTGAGTTGACTGCAGTGGACAGACGGGGACTGACCATCAGGAGGAAGTTAGACCTGACTGTACTTGATACTAATGATCCACCCTCTGTAAGAATCAGTTTTCTGTCACTTACAGTGTAGCTAGTAGTTTGCTAAATTTCTTTTCATCCTTTTCATCTTTTGTGTACACTTAAATACTGTACTTGTTTTATTTTTAAACACAGGATATCAATGCAGAAGAGGATACTTACTTTGTGGATGAAGGAACTCATCATGTCAGAATAACTCCATTAACAGCTAGGGATACAGATATCGGGCAGAATCACACGTTTACAATTATATCAGAATCTCACTTTTTCCATATCATCCACAGAGAATTATGGGTAAGTGTGATGAGGATATGATGGTGAAGGCTTTCATGGAGGGGTTCTATTTTAACTTTTCCTATAATACCATATGAGGTATTTTCTGCAGTTTAATTTTTTTTGTTATTTGGTGTCTGAAAGGTACTGTTCTTATTTCTAATTTTACTTATAACACTTCAATTTTTTGCAATTACAGTCAATCAGCTAAGATAAAGGTGCAGAATATCAGCAGTTTGCAATTTTATTTTTTGTAATTTTGAGAGCACAAAAGTTGGAGCAAAAATTAGTGAAGTGTAGATAATATTTTTATGGAATTTTATGAAAAGAAAATTAATTTTAATGAATAATATCTGTAAATGACTTTACATTTCTATTCCAGGTATCCAACATAGCGGATTTAGACTATGAATCAAAATCCGAGCATGACTTGGTGATCCGAGCCACAGACAATGGAAGTCCTCCCATGTACACAGAGAAAACCTTCACAATCAAGGTCAACAATGTAAATGAGGCTCCAAGAAATATCAGGATGACCACAAATGAGGTCTGCCCCTCCCCCTCCTTCCAGGCATCTCATTCTTATACAGACAACACTGAAGGTCAACAGATACAAACTCGAATTCCCTGTGTATTTCAGATTCCAGAAAACAGTCCTCATGGGACAGTGATAGGGGAGTTAACAGCAGAGGATCCAGATAACATCCTCAAACAGATCCAGATACTCCAGTTTACCCTCACAGATTCTGCAGCAGGGATGTTTGCCCTCAATGGGACACAATTAATGGTAAGCTGCTGAATTACTTTTTATCAAAATTAAAAATAATAAAAGACTAGAAGACGATGATGAAATTGCTTTAATATATCAGTTGATGAAGTTTACTGTATGTATAAAAAGCTGAACGTAAGTCTAGGTTGTGTTTATAATGGAGTGTTTTATTGATTTAGCTGATCAGTGGAGAATTGGACTATGAGAAAGTTCATCAGTACTCTGTGGGTGTACTGGTGACTGACAATGGAGAACCTTCCCTCTCAGCTAGAGCTGACATTGCCATCCAGATAACTGATGCTAATGATTCTCCAACAGATTTAAAACTAACAGGTCACCTGACAACATCTACTGTCACAATATTTTTAAAGAATTCTACATGCTCAGTTGTATTCTCTGACATTATAAGTATAAGATTTTAAGTATAAGATGCATAATTATATTTCTCAAATCTCAGATTTCCTGTTTTATAAGGAGTTCAATTCACTTACAGCATTTATCTCTCATTATTCTTGGGATACAGAAATTTCACTTCTTCACATTCACAATGTTGGGATTTGATTCTTTTGTCAATTTCCAATTCAGCAATGAGTGTAGATGAGAACTGTAAGATTGGGACAGTGGTGGGAAGGTTATCTGCTGTGGATGTGGATGAGGGTCAGAGTTTGACATATTCTCTGTCTGACACTGGTAACCTTGTAGTAGAGGGGAATAAGGTCAAGGTCACAGGAGGTATAGACTTCGAGCAGGTGCCCTTCATCACATTTAAAGCTATTGCTACAGATGATGGCCATCCACCCAAAGAAGTAAGTTCCCTAATGTACAAGTATCCTGATTATTATGCATTTAGTTTTGATGAGAGTAGAAAACAATTCCAGTTTTGTTGATGAATAAAAGTTGATAACATTTTAAACATTCATTAGGTTTCAAGGAGTTTTTCAGTATTAGTGAGGGATGTGAATGATGAACCAACTACCCTGAGATTTATACCGTCTTCTGTTGTGCAAGATTTTATGATACCAGAATCAATGTCCATTGGTGGTCATATTGGTACAGTGGAGGTGGTGGATCCAGATGGAGTGGATAAGATATCTTTTGATATAGTGAACAATGGTTTTGGTGTTTTTAAACTAGGAAACACTATTAAGTGTGGACCAACAAACATTCAATATCAGGTAAATAATATATGTAAAAGTTATGCTGTCTGACTTACTGAATCTCAGAATTTTTACAATGAAATAAATTTAGATGGAGTAAGAGGTCTTTAGTTGATCAATGAATTTTTATATGTTCTGCCTTGTAGAACTTAAAATCTTCTGTTGGAACAAAGTGTTCTGTAGAAATACAGCTGTCCAGAAATTTGAATTTTGAGATGAAATCCACAGCTATGACCTTGAAAATCCAAGCACAGGACAAAAAAAGCTCTAGTATTGTAAGGGAATGGACATTCTCTGTCAAGGATACCAATGAGGCACCTACTGTAAGATTTATGGTTCATCATTAGATTCGTAGGTATAATTCTGAAATAGTGTCAATCTGTTAAACAATTTATAGACCAGAAATGTTCATGATTATTTTAGGACATAAATATTGATGGCAGTCAGACAAAAATTCCAGAGAATGAGCCTAGTTTTATTATTGGAGCTGTACAGACAGCAGATGAGGATGTAGGAGAGACCTTCACTTACCAAGTTATCTCCCATTGGGAATTCTTCAGGATTAGAGGGGACAAACTGGAGGTCAGAAGGCCCCTGGACTTTGAGAAGAAATCCTCTTACAATGTTACTATTAAGAGCACTGATAGTGGAGGACTTTCCTTTTCCAAAAGTTTTAGTTTCAGTGTATTGAATATCAATGAGAAACCAAGCAACATTTCTCTAAATCCTAAAGAAGTAAGAATTCCAGCATATTTTTTTCAATTCTGATAACTGAATATTGTGGAATCATCGTTGTCTTTGGGAGGTTCATTGAATCTTCTGTAAATACAATGTCTTGAAATTTATGTCCAAAGGAACCGTTGAGATTTTTTTGAGTACCACAAATTGAAATGATTCCATAGCTATCTGAAAAGTACATGCATCTCAGAGTAAAGATTAGGATGTCTTAGTACATAGGTACTTATAAATAAAATCTGCTCTGTCTCTATGTGTAATGTGTAATTCTGAAATAAAAATCTCATATAAAATTATATACATAATTTACTTTTTGTCTACTTTTAGGTGAGTAACAGTGCTGATGTTGGGGAAGTGGTGGGACTTGTGACAGTAATAGACCCAGATAATTTAGACCCGGACTCCCCCACCCAGAACCACAGTTGTACAGTGGGTGGGGAGGGGCTGGGGGTCTTCACCATGGATTTTGGTTCTAAGATTCTGAAGGTATGTAAATTATACACATATTGGGATTTCTCAATGAAATCAGATTGACTGAGCTTGCTTTATTGCTAGTGCTCTCGAGCGCTAGCAACTACGTTAGTTTTTTTTTTTACTGGAATATGCATGCTCAACTTCACGGTAGGCCATTCTGGGAATACCTCTATAGATAAACTAGCTTTACAATGTCAATTTAGTATTATTATCTGAAAATGCACATGATCTGAAGTTTCCTGTTTTGTCATAAATGTACAAAAAAGCAACTGTAAATTAGGTCTTAAAATGCTAAGACTAGAAATCAGTCATTTCTAAAATTATAATAAATACCTAGCTTTTCTTAACTACATTCCTGGATCTTTCCGGCAAGCTCGGAAAAACAACCTTGGATATGTTTTCCGAGCTTGCCAGAATTAAAGGCCCGAGAAGATGCGTTTGCTACAAAACAGTGCCATGCTGGAATATTTTAAACTATAGGTGGTTCTACTGACCTCTTATTTTCACCTCAAAATTGGAATTACAGTGAACTTCAACACAGATAATGAATTATGTTCATTGCTGATGTGAAGCTTACTCTAGCTTCACCATTCTGAATTGGACACACCCTCCCCAATCACCCCCAGTGCACCACTTTGCCTTCCTATTGATAATACGTTCTATTTCCACTATTGAAGAGTTATAGTTCTTAGTGCGCTCTTTTGTGAAAAAGTCGGAGAATGTACAAATCTCGCGGGATTTCTGGGACAAACGTAACATAAACATGTAAACAACACGTTGAATGTCGATGAACAAATCCTAACAAAATGAATATGAAATATTTTATTGTTGTGAACTTTATTTAAATCAAGAGTAGAGATGACAAGGATATTAATTTACATCTATTGGTGATCGTATGTATCTATTTATCGTAATGGTACATTTAAAGTCAATACACATACCTCGGAAATGTCGTATTTTTATTTATGGACGATAAAGTTAGGGTTTCCGCTCATTTTCATATGTCTTTTAGTTCTTCTATTCTTTAGTTAGAATGACAAATGCACTTAACATTTAAAATTGGTTAGATACTGGCATGTTTTGTATTATCTGCAATGCCATGCTGTCCCAGTCAGACGACCAAACGCTCCTCTAATTCTGAAGAGTTCACTAATGGAAATACAACGTATTAATTGATTTGGCAAATTAAACAAATGGTTCAGATATCTACTTCTGTGTTCTATGATGGCTACAGCCTAGCTCACCTATCTTCTTTAAAAGATAAGCTTGTACTTTATAGAGTGGTCAATCTCTTTCATGTTGCATTGTTTATGTACATTTAGTTTTATTAGCTCTTCTGAGCCAAAGGCTCAAAGAGCTAATGCTATGGCCATTTGTGCGGTGTGTGTAAACTTTTTAGAATATGGGCCATAACTCAAGAACCCCTTGGCCAATTATTGTCAAATTTGTCACAGGGTATCCTTGGCCCAAGGGCTCCCTTTTATACTAAAACTGGGGTTGTGACCCTTTAACAAGGGGAGATAATTAGTAAAATAGAAACAAAAGTACTGGTTGCTAAAAAATCTTCTTCTCTAGAACCACTGGGCAGATTATCACCAAACTTACACAAAAGGATGAGAATATGTTGTAGATTAAAATTTGCACGGAGATTTACCCTGGGGCAAAGGGCTTGGTCTCAAGGTCACTGAAAAGTTGACAAAAATTACATTTTATTAAAATGTTGATATTTTGCTTACTATAAGGACAAGGATCATCAAATCTTGTCAGTTGGTGCATCTAAGGACCTCATATCATGTTGACTCAAAAGTAGGTCACGGTGACCTACTTTTTAAATTTTGCGGCCATTCTTTTTCAAAATGATTAAGTGGCATATTTTGAACAATTTAAGGCCTATGATCATCAAACTTTGTCAGTTGATGCATCTTGGGTCCTCAAAGTACGTCAACTAAGAAGTAGGTCACCTTGACCTATTTTTTGAATTTTATGGCTAATCATTTTTAAAACAATTAAGGTCATTAATTCGAATACGGGGAGGCTTAGAATCATTAAATCTTGTAAGATGATGCATCTTGGGGCCATAAAACATGTTTATTAAAAAGTAGGTCACAGTGACCTACTTTTGAACTTTGCAGGCATTCGATTTCAAAGCGTTTTAGAGGCATAATTTGGACATTTTAAGTCCTATGATCATAAAACTTTGTAAGTTGATGCATCTTGGGTCCTCAAAAAAGTCAACTGAAAAGTAGGTCACCATGACCTACTTTTCAATTTATATGACTATAATTAAATATTTCAGGTACTAATTGGCTTAGAATCATCAAACTTTGTCAGTTGATGCATCTTGGGTCTTCGGAGTAGGTCGACTAAAAAGTAGGTCACAGTGACCTACTTTTGAAAATTTATGGCGTTAATTAAATATTTCAGGTACTAATTGGCTTAGAATCATCAAACTTTGTCAGTTGATGCATCTTGGGTCTTCAGAGTAGGTCGACTAAAAAGTAGGTCACTGTGACCTACTTTTGAAAATTTATGGCTTTAACTCTTTACCACTCAGAGCTCTTTAGATAAGGCGCTTCTGTATACTCGCACAGCAAGCCACTGCTGCAGCCTTATCTCCACAGCAGTTTAGCATCAGTGATAACCCCATTTACTCAGGCATTTTCAGAAATAAACAAAGAAATCACAGTGCATGTGTGTTTATTGATATTTCTCAAAAACTATTTAGTAAAAGTATATAAAACTATATATTTTTATTTTCAGGACATTCTCACCTTTATAATGATGTTAATTTCAATCTTATATTTCATAACAACTCCATGAAAAAGTTAACCAAATGTCAACAAACAATATGTACACACAAATTTTCCTAGGAAAAAACACTGATTTCCAGGATTTTACAGTCCATAAGAGGGTTTTATTGTCCACTGTGAAAAGTGAAATGACATCCATCTTTGCACAAATGCACATTACACACTTTGCAGCCATACACAGTTTCTTTCCGTTCTTTTTTGTTCATGTGAACACGACATCTTCTTTTGGTCCCCATGTGAGTAGATTCATGTCCAGCAAAGTTCTCTGCCTGGTGAACCACTTCAACATTTTCCGCAGCTTTCCTTTTTCGTCCGGAGAAGCCCGCAATCAAATGATGAACCAGCTCCATTCTAGGGGTGGGACGATATACCGATACACCGATACATACCGATATTTTCTTCTAAGATACGGTTTACGATACATGCATTGAAATATCGGTATGAAACGATACACGAACGACCTATCAAAAAATTGAAAATGAAAGTAGTTGTTCTTGGAAAATGGCGGCTTGTACGAAACGAAGAGATGATGTTGATATTGAAAACACGCTTTAGAACAAATATGTCGTAGATAAGGGGTAAAACATTTTTCACTTTTAAGCATATGCGGAAGATGGGACAAGAAAAGTTCAGTACGTAAAGTGTTATATACAGAAAGTATCGTTTCCACAACAGTTGATATTATAAATTGTTGGTCCATCTGGCAGTAACAGCTCATAACAAAGAATGGATTCTCTAATTTCATTAAAAAGAATTTGAAATTTTAAATCAAATTGTTGATTAATTTTTTTTGTGAACTCAACTTGATTAGAGACTTTCAGCAATTAATAATAATTAATGTACATGTGATGATTTTTATAAAATGAGATTTTAGTCAGTGTTCCTGATGAACTGCACAACTATTTGAAAACTTGTTTAAAGATATTTGGCAATATGTAAATGTAATATTATATTTGTAAATTTTTTAGTCAATGAAATTTATGAACTTCAAGTATTAATTTCAAAACATATATGATTTGATATAGAATAATTTAAATTCATATTTGTTATTGTCAAGAAGACAAAAATGAATTAAAATACTGAGTTTTTTAAATAGTTTTACAATTTATAATAATATCGAGATACGTATCGTATCGTGTTACATGTATCGAGATACATATCATATCGCAAGATCTGTGTATCGTCCCACCCCTACTCCATTCTAAAGGCTACATGTGTGAACCTTTTCCTGGTGTTTGGACGTCTTGATGTGTTACCAAAAAGAATGAAGGCATTCACCACTGCACAATTCATCAGGAAATAAAATATGTACTTCCAGGCTTTTTTACTGTCCCTTCCCAAAGGATATTTTAGTCTTAGCTGGTCATGTCTGTCTACGCCATTCATGTACTTATTGTACTCATTGGCAGCATGGGGTTGCGTCATTTGTAGTTCCTGTCTTCCATGCTGCCTGGTGACAGGGACTTATACACGAGGGTCACTTAAAGTGCTGAGGAAGGCCACTGGCTTTTTGTCCTGCCAGACAGATGCAGTTAAGTTTCCTCTCTGTCTGGTTTGTGACTGTCCTCTTTGTAATCGAAGCCTGCCTTTTAAATCGTCAGGAAACCCTCTTCTATTCATACGTACTGTGCCGCAAGCGTAAATCTTCTCAGCAAGTAAGTCCTCCATAAGTTTGACACTTGTAAAGTAATTGTCAAAATATAAGTGAAAGTTCCTTCCAGTGATGTCCCTAGACAATTTTGTCACAACGTCATACCCAAGACCATTTTCTGATGTAGCTTCTCCTTTCCCTAAATAAATATCGAAGTCTGTCAGGAATGCATTCTCTGAATCGCATCGCATCCAAACTTTGATACCTCTCTTGATGGGTTTAGCAGGTAGGTACTGCTTGTATGATAGTCTTCCTGTCCACTTGATCATAGCTTCATCAATGGCCATGTTTTTGTTAGGCTTATAGGTTTCATTGAATTTTCTCTTTGTCATTGGTATAACTTCTCTGACCTTATATAGCTTGTCATAATTTCTGGATCCCCTTGCTGGCTCATTTGTACGGTCACTAACATGAAAATATTCCGTAATTTTTTCATACCTCCTCACTGTCATGACAGATTTTGCGCCTTCATTGCCAAGGTACACATCTTTGGACCAATAATCCTTATATGAAGGGAGTTGATTGATGCCCATCATAATATTCAGTCCTATGTAAGCCTTCATTTCAGCTTCTGAGATTTCGTACCATACACTGTCTTCTTCGCCCTTCTGGGCCATTTTCCACCTCGCATAATTATTTGTGTGACGAACAAAGTCTGAAATAATGTCTGGACTAAACATAAGATCAAAGTAATCCTTTGCTGTTGCTGTATTCACGTCAAAATCGGCCGGGAATACGGGTCCAGTGCCCTCCGCGAACGGATCAACACGCACGCCACGAAGGTTCTCTGTCCATTCATCATCATTTTCTGGCTCTGATTCACTGGAACTTTCACTTTCTTCTTCACTACTAGATTCCTCGGGAATATATATGTCTGATTCAGCATCTGAGAAACCCTCAAACTCGTCTAAATCATCATCTGAATCGAAATAATCTCGTAGTATCTCTTCGTTTGTTGGTAGGTCCGCCATTTTGAATATCAACTTTCGCTTCGGTTTCCATACATGGTAAAAACCGTCTTTATTAATAGGAACACGTGACATTATGACAGTACACATACTTTATTTTTAAAGACCAATAATATCGCTTCAATTTGAAGCCTACCCCAAAGTTGTCGACGTCATAGTCTCGTTTTCATATAGTCTTAAAATAACAAGACGTCGACAGGCGCTTGTGAGGAAATCCTGGACAAGCGTCGAGAGACGCTAGTGCGGAAATAATGGCGAGGCGTCGAGAGACGCTAGTGCGGAAATAATGGCGAGGCGTCGAGAGGCGCTAGTGAGTGGTAAAGAGTTAATTAAATATTTCGGGTACTAACTGGCTTAGAATCATAAAACTTTGTCAGTTTATGCATCATGGGTCCTCGGAGTACAACAACTGAAAAGTAGGTCACTGTGACCTACTTTTGAAAATTTATGGCTTTAATCAAATATTTCGGGTACTAATTGGCTTAGAATCATTAAACTTTGTCAGTTGATGTGTCTTGGGTCCTCGGAGTACAACAACTGAAAAGTAGGTCATGATGACCTACTTTTGAAATTTTATGGCTGTATTTAATATTTTCAGGAATTATTTGGCTTAGAATCGTCAAAATTTTTCAGTTGATGCATCTTTGGTCCTCGGAGTAGGTTGACTGAAAAGTAGGTCACCGTGACCTACTTTTGAAAATTTATGGCTGTAATTATATTTTGGGTACTTATTGGCTAGAATCATCAAACTTTGTCAGTCGATGAATCTTTGGTCCTCAGAGTACAGCAACTGAAAAGTAGGTCACGGTGACCTACTTTTGAAAATTTATGGCTTTAATTAAATATTACAGGTACTAATTGGTTTAGAATCATCAAACTTTGTCAGTTGATGCATCTTGGGTCCTTGGAGTAAAACAATTGAAAAGTAGGTCACTTTGACCTACTTATAAAATTTTATGGCTATAATTTTAAAATTTATTTTAGGTATTATTTGGCTTAGAATCATCAAACTTAGTTGATGGGTCCTCAGAGAATGACAAGTGATAAGTAGGTCACCATGACCAACTCTCAGGTACTAATTGGCTTAGAATCATCTTGGGTTCTCAGAGTGTGAATTGGAATTTCAAGGGTTTATCTTAATATACAGGATAATTAGAGGCTTCAAATAGAAGTGAGAGGTTGTACAGTTTATCAGAAGAGCGATTCAAGGCCCATGTGCCTCTTGTTTGTTTCCTCAATGAAAAAAGGCCATAACTAGTTTGTCATATGAAGAATATATTGTAAGATCAAAGTTAGATCCTACAAAGTGTTAAAATGTATAGTTATTTTTAAGGTTGAATCTTCAGTGCCCCTAGATAGAACGGAGATGATGCTAATTATTACCTGTAAGGATGATGGAACCCCACCATTGGAATACTCTCAGAATATTAGTCTGGTCATCAAAGAATCAGTTAAAATACCAAAGGAAGTCAAACTGACCAATCTGAGAGTTGTTCCAGAAAATACAGAGAGATTTGAAGTAGGAGAATTTCAGGTCTTTAACATGCTAACCAATAAGCCTGTAGAAAATGAGGTCAGTTATGGTTTTAAATCAAATCTACCATATGCTATATTAAAGTAAAAGATTTATTCTGTTGTGAATAATAACTTGTACTATTTGTTTCAGATGTACTTGTATTTCCTATTGGATGTAGATGCCCCATTTAGGATGGAAGGAAATGTGCTGAAAACCAAGAAAGCATTTGACTTTGAAACACAGCAGTTTTTCAAGGTTGAAATTAATGCTATGGCATTTGGATCAAATCTAAAGGCAGAATTCAAGGTGATAGTCTTAAGGTTTGCTGATGTGATAATGCAGTGAAGTTTCTCTAGTGAAAAATTGTTTGTATCCAGGTTTTAAAAAGAAGTTTTTGTAAAATACATGTGTGTACAGTGGCACCGCGGTAATCCGGACACTTCACCTTCCGGACAATATTCTTTGGGAACAGATTTTTTCCTCGTTATTCTGTCTCATTAATCCGGAAATTCGTGTTCCAGATCCAGACGGTCAATTTCTACTACAAAGCGTAATATTTCATTGAAAAATGACTCGTTTATCCGGACGGTGATTTTTCGAGGAACGACTTTTCACACCTTTCTTGCAGTAGTGATAATTATTGTAAAAACATTGTCCGTGGAGTCAGTTTGAAGGCGGTTACCTGTGACCTCTAAACAATAGCGACTATAATTAGCACGTGTTTACCTCAGATAAAACACACGTCTTTTATATTATAAAGCCCGAAGAATTTAGCTAGCCTTACACTGTGCATTAATTAAATATAAATCCGTTTAGAATAGAATAAATTGCTGACGGTATATAAATTTATGAGAATTTTGGAGAGTTGTAAATAAAATTTTTTTACTGAATAATAAATCACAAGATTTCGTTGTGTTATTGAGTTGCGTAAGTTTATCAATTTTCCAATTCTCAAAACGTACATCATTTGAAACTTTTTTTTTCTTTTCATAAGACAACTTATTATGATACATAATTCAAGAAAATATATTTCTATTTGATGCACTAAGAAATACGTAACTGGCGTTAGTTATAAATGCCGATCACGTTTTTTTTCTAGGTATATAACTTAGAGTTTATAGAAAAAGTATTGATAATCCTGAATATGGCTTGTGTTTACGTTGAATGTTTGCAATACGTACACTGATTACAGTGTTTAGTTACTTACTTCCCAAAATGTAGTGAATATACGCGGTTAGTCATTTGAACATTCTCAATGGTGATAATTAACAGTTCTTCTTAATATGAGCTTGAATAAATAAAAGAAATGTGCCGAAATAAAACAGTAGCAAATCAAAATTTGGTCAGCCCATGTAACTACACGTCAAATAGAAGGCAAGTAAAGTTTCCTGTGTTAGAAAAGGAAGTCTCAACATAAAACTGCCTATCCATTTTTCATCTTGTAAATTACATTTTAATTTTTTTCTTTTTTAAATATTAATTATTTCTTCTAAAACTATAAAAATAAAATCAATAAGTCAAGGTAAAATAAAGGTGTTTTCTTTGCCTTCACATTTAATACCCCTATGTTCATATGTACATGCTTTGAGAGGGTACGTCTTTTAAGAAGCGATTCTCTTATCCGGACGATTCATTTATCCGGACGATTTCGTTGGGGACAGAGGCGTCCGGATTAACGAGGCGCCACTGTATGTATGGAAATGCACTCTCAGGGGATTGTTCATGCATCAATCTCAAAAACATATGCCCAAAAGTGATAAAGATATTTAGAAAAATAACGCATGTAATTTATATTTCTAGATTGAGATAGGAGATGTAAATGAGGCTCCCATGGGGATTGGAATATATGGTGGAGGCCTTCTGAAGGAGAATAGTGATGAAGGGACTGTAATTGGAGATCTAAATACCAGAGACCAGGAGAAGAATCAGATATACACATATACAATCAAATCCATCTATCCAGGGTATGATATCATTGTATCAAATCTTTCAGGTTCATCATAAATATTTATGCAATTATTGTTCAAACAATGGGGGGGGGGGGGGGTTAAAGAAATTGTAAAATACTTGTCTGGACATAACTTTGAAAATGAGAAACTTCATAAAAAGGTAACTTGTGACCAGAGGTATGTCATTATTAATTAAAATGATCATTTGGACAAGGTCTCAGGATGTAGATGAATTACATTATTGCTCTAAGCACAATTTTTAAACAGAGAAATATTGCAAGCATATACTCAGTCAAAGGTTGCTTGTGAGTAAAGGGTGTATCCTGGCCCTAATTCCTGATTCATTCATTAGCCATTACACTCTGTGGTGTCTAGGCAGCTAATCCATGATAATTTTTGGCACACTCAGCTTCACTGGTTGGTACTAAAGTTGGTTGTGACCAGAGAGTGTGTAGTACTTTAAATTTGATAATCATTGTTATTGTTCCACATAAGCATTAATTTTTTTCTCACTGTTATGGCATTCTCATCCTCCACTCTCCTTTGTATATATCTTCCAGCAATGCTCTTGCATTTTTGTAGTATTTTATGCTGTACTGTATTTTCAGAAAAGGACAAGTTGTCCCAAATTATTTCAAATGTTTTATAAACTATATTTCAGATTAACAGACACCGAGGATGCATCACCATTCAAAGATTTATTTAAGCTGCAGAACAGAACCCTTACTGTTGGAAAACCCACAGAAACTTTAAACTTTGAGAAATACCCTGTGTTTTCAGTTCAGGTGACAACAACAGACTCTGGTTCCCCTGCCCTTTCTTATACTGGAATTATAAGGATTGTTCTACAGAATGTTAATGACCAACCAAAGGATATCACCCTCAGTAATAATCAGGTTAGCTTTACTACAGAATGTTAATGACCAACCAAAGGATATCACCCAAAGTAATAATCAGGTTAGCTTTACTACAGAATGTTAATGACCAACCAAAGGATATCACCCAAAGTAATAATCAGGTTAGCTTTACTACAGAATGTTAATGACCAACCAAAGGATATCACCCTCAGTAATAATCAGGTTAGCTTTACTACAGAATGTTAATGACCAACCAAAGGATATCACCCTCAGTAATAATCAGGTTAGCTTTACTACAGAAAAAACACTGGGATCTTCCTCAAGTGTTTTATTACCAAAGTAGATTACAAATAGCAGCAAATTCATTTTATCTTGACATACTTTTTATTGGTAATCAAAGAGTTATCTCTCTTGATATGTAGGTTAAAGAGAACAGTTTAATTGATGCAGAGATTGGGATGCTGACTGTTATTGATGAAGACAAGAAGGACGTTCACTCTTGTTCTGTAGTTTCATCAGGGTTCCCAGTCAAGGTATAAATATTAACAGAATTTATCTCAGCTAGCACTGGTTATTAATTATTACCTTGCATTATAACCTTACATTATTATTATTACCTTGAATTAAAAAAAAAATGAAAGTACTTAATATTTGAATTTGCAGATAAAGAACAGTTTATCCTTAGTAGTTGGGAATGGTGTAATTGATTATGAAAGTGATAAGATATTTCCAGTAGAGGTATGTATGTATTTATTAATTGTGAAAGGAATTCATTAAGATTTGCAATTAGCTAGCAAATGTGTAGTCTTTGGTAAAGGATTTATTGCATTGTCTAAAAAAAAGTTACAATCTTTGTGCAACATTAAATTGAATGTCTTTACTTCTTTGCATGGTATGACTGAACAAGTTTGGTATTTAATTGATACGAATAATTATTATATGACCCCTAAAACAAAATTGGAGGGGTGCGGGGTATAGTGGAATCACCTTATCTGTAAGATTAAACTCGACGTTAAGGTAATTTTTCTGCTTAATTTTAGGGGTATAGTATGAATTTTTGTCAGAAGCTAGATTTGAAAGCTGCATTTGACATACATTTTACATTTGACAGACCTTAGTAGTTCATGTTTTGAATGTGCCCCTGTAGGTAGATTTGAGAGTGTCATCACTGTTGGATCTACTCATAGTTTCCTTTCCATTGTATAGATTGAATGCTGGGATTATGGACATGGTGGACCTCAGCTCAGGGTCAGTAAGACATTTGTCATCAGTGTTACAGATGTTAATGAGCCTCCATTTGACATCAGCCTCAGTTCCAACTCAATGGAGGAAAACGCTCCAGTAGGTCAAGTGGTAGGAGAGTTGTCAGCAAAAGATGTAGATAGCACCAAGGTTGGTTTTACATATACATGTATGTAACATTTCAGGTGGTCTACACCTCTAACAATTTAACATCCTGAATAATGGCAGCTGAAGAAATGGTTGTCTAGGAAAACTGAACCCGCACAAAAAAAGACATTTATGATATTTATGATGTTTATAGGTAGTTATATGTGTACCAATACTTAAAAGCAATCACTGAGAACATTAATTTGTCACTGAGAATAATGGAAAGCAATTTGCAAAGAAGATATTTGGACCAGCAACCAAGTGTTAATCTTGGATCATCCAGATGAAAGACATGATGAATCTACTTAATGTGTATGGCTTATTTACTGCTACTTCTCATGACAGTCAAGATTTCACTGTATGAATTCTGAATCAAAATTAAAGGGCATATTTTGTGTATAAGTTTAGAAGTAGAAATTAAGTTATTTGTTGTTATTATGTGATAAATAATTTTTGTTTATTATTTGATAGATAATCTTTCACCTTGAAGAAAATCTGTTTGTTGGACTTGATGGGATAAATACAGTTGTCACCAAGACAGAGATGGACTTTGAACAAATGTCTGAGTTTGAGTTTACTGTGAAGGCTGTAGATTCTGAAAAAGCTTTTAATTCCACAAACATAAAAATCAAGGTTTGGATTTTTCATGTTGAATTTCATATTTTTATTCTGCTAGAGAGCTATCACCATAGACAATATTCAGTATTTGCAGAATATGTGTACTTAAGTTTTAATCTTACATTAACATTTCAGATATTAGATGTGAATGAGGCCCCAACAGACATTATGTTAAGTACATTAACAGTGAAGGAAAATTTGGACTCTGGAGTAGAGGTAGCCAAATTGACAACTGTTGATCTTGACCACAACCAGGTGTATGTTTACTCCATCATTGACGCAGGTAAGTAAAATGTTATACAGATCAACTACATATACATATTGCTGACACAGTGAGAAAACAGTGATAGAGTTTATCATAAACACAGTAAGTTAAACATAATACAGGTATCTTTAATCTCTGACACAGTAAGGTGGAGATGATTCTGAGAAAGTTAGTCACTGATATACCGGTAGTAATTTAAAAGTTATCCAGATACAGTATGAAAAGGATGATCCAGGTACAGTTTATCACCAACATTGACATGAAAAGGATGTTCCAGATATTATACAAATATATTTCATCACTGAAACCTTAATAACCAATTCAGACTTCCTCACTGATATAGAATTAAGAATCATCATCCAGATTGAGTTTCTCACTTTGGCTTTGAGTTAATTCAAGGTTGCACAATGTCTAGCAGACTTGCTTGAGATAATGCTCTAAAATTTTGGGATGAGTGTCAAGGTTTAAGTTTCTGTAGCATGTCATTTCCCAAGTAAGCTTAAACAATGCTTGGATTAAATCACTTCAAATAAAGCATTTAAGATTGTATACTCTTTTAAAAGTCGTGATTCTACATTCTATAGATTTGTATTTCAACCCATTCAACTTTGCCTCATTTAAAGAGATCATTTATCAAGTTGCTAATTTTGCTACACTCTAAAGCTGTTTTTCTGTTCATCTCATTTCAGGGTACTTTGAGGTAGTAGGAGACAAACTTTTCACTACAACTAAACAGATAGACTATGAGGAGGATTCAAGCCTGGAGTTAGTCATCAATAGTACTGACAGTGGTGTACCTCCACTGACAATTCAGGTAAAGAGTTAGTCATTAATAGTACCGACAGTGGTGTACCTCCACTGACAATTCAGGTAAAGAGTTAGTCATCAATAGTACTGATATTGGTGTACCTCCACTGACAATTCAGGTAAAGAGTTAGTCATCAATAGTACTGACAATGGTGTACCTCCACTGACAATTCAGGTAAGGAGTAAGTCATCAATAGTATAGTGGTGTTCTGCCACTGATAATTCAGGTAAAGAGTTCGTCATCAATAGTGTAGTTGTGTTCTGCTTCTGACAATTCAGGCAAAGAGTTAGTCATCAATAGTACTGACAGTGGTGTACCTCCACTGACAATTCAGGTAATGAGTAAGTTATTAATAGTATGGACAGTGGTGTACCTCCCCTGACAATTCAGGTAATGAGTAAGTTATTAATAGTACTGACAATGGTGTACCTCCACTGACAATTCAGGTAAGGAGTAAGTCATCAGTAGTATTGATATTGGTGTACTTCCCCTAACAATAAATGATCCCTGTAGTTAACCTACAGTTATTCAGTCAAAAAGTGTTTGCCTGGGACAGTCAAGTTAGAATTGTGTGTATCTTAGTATCTCTAGAAAACAAAACTTTAATTCTTCTTGCTTTTCAGCTGGTGGTTGTATGTCATGTTAAAGTCTACAAAATGTTCAAATGATTTCTAAGTTTATTTACATGTATGGACTTTGTGCTACCTTTTTCAATTTCAGAGGACTTTCATAATTGAAGTAGAAAATGTGAATGAACCTCTCAGTGATATAATTTTGGAAGCAATTTCTCCAGTCTCTGAAGATCTTCCACTAGGATCAGTCTTGTCCAAAATCCTAATTTATGATCCAGATGAGGACCTGTCACACATCTGTCAAGTTCTTCCAGGCTCCACCCCTTTTTCCATTGTCACAACCGAAAACAATGTAAAGGAGTTGATGTTGACAGGGGTATTAGATTATGAAATCAAATCAACGTATCAACTCAACATTAAGTGTTCTGATGGAGAGTTTGATATGGTTAAGGTAATCACTACTTTTTTTTAATATTAAAAAAAAACCCATACATTTTAACTTTACATTCAGAATCTTCATATTCAGCCTCTCATTCTGTAAAGTTCAATATCATAAAGACCTTTTCTATTTCAGGAGATAACAATAGAAGTGAAGGATATAAATGAGAGACCATTAGGAATAACTCTGAGTGGATCTCACACAGTGTTAGCCAATGGTACAGCAGGATACAGTATAGGAGAAATCGCTGTCTCAGATCCCGACATAGACCAGACCCACACTGTCACTGTCAAGGGACCTAACTCAGATTTTATCAAGGCACTTAAACAACTCAATTCTCCTTATTAATAAATTGGAGGAAATAGTTTTGTTTTCTTAAATTCATTAAACGATGAATTTTTATGCTAGGTTAAAGTCTCCATTAAAATAATTGTTGGTATACCATGCAGAAAATACATGTAGTTTCTCTTAATTTTAATCCAAGATTGAACTATCGTTGATAGAGATCACAAAAGTAATGTACATCTTTTACAGGTTGAAAATAACAAACTGTTGTTAACAGGACCTATCCCAATGGAAATTCTAAAGAAAGTCCCTCCTATCATAAAAATATCATTAATAGCTACAGACAATGGTCAGCCAACCCTGTCGGTCAATTATTCTTTTTCTCTTCCAATTACGAATGTCCAAATATTTGCTGCAGAACTGCCATCAGTTTCATTGGATAATCAGAAATTGTGGGAAGACTCTGAAATAGGGTTTGTGATTGGGAGGTTATTCAGTATAAACCAGACCATTGATGAGGAAATTATATTTAAACTGATATATAACCCAGGAGAGCTCTTTGCTATTAAAGATAATAAGTACTTAATACTAGCTAAAAACCTAAGGGAAGTGGAAGGTACTTCAGCAAGGATTACTGTGCAAGTAAAGAACAGTGAAACTTTTGAAATGGAGACACAGAACATCACCATATTTATTAAAAGAGTTGATAAGTGTGAAGTAAATGGTAAGAAATGTGATGATAATGCTCGCTGTGTGAAATCTGGGAATTCTACTAAGCATATTTGTAGCTGTGAAGTTGGATTTATAGGGGATGGGTATTTGTGTGAGAACATTGACTACTGTCATCAAAATTCAGCAGCTTGTTTTAATAATGGCACTTGTGTGAACAAGATAGATGGGTATGCTTGTCTTTGTGATGAAGGATTTGTAGGCATGCATTGTGAAATAGCCACTGTATCTGAGGATCTGTGTTCAGCCATGCCTTGCCAGAATGGAGGTGTCTGTTCATTCATTGAAGGGAAGAGAGCTACCTGCTCCTGTGTACCTGGCTGGGAGGGGGAGCTGTGTGAGAGAAGTGAAGATGACTGTGTGAATGCTGTCTGTCTTGGTAATGGAACTTGTGTGGACAGGTACAGGAACTATGTCTGTGTGTGTTCTGAGGGCAGGACAGGGGTATTCTGTGAGTATCAACCTAGTCTTTGCCATGACCAAAAGGTATGTAGTAGGAAAGATGTGTGTATACCTATAGGAAACAGAAAGAAAGTGATTTGTGCCAATGAGTCCTGTGTTATAGACATCACCATTGGTACAGGGACTAAAACAGACATGGCAGAGCTGGAAGCTAGATTTACGGAGGCAGTTCTCCAACTTATAAGGCAGACAGAGAGTTTACAGTCAACTAACAGGGGAAAGAGGCAAACATCATCAGATCCATTTGTCTACATCATCAGCATCACACCAAAACAGGATGGTCAATCATGGGATGTTAAGTTTGTGGTGTTTGAAAGTGGTGGAGTTGTAAACACTAGAGAGGATGTGTATGACATTCTTAATCAGGCCTGTTCCTCTAATGGTAAGCTTTAAAATGTAGACTAATTACCCAGTTTTTAAAACCATTAAGATATTCTGATTTGTAAAGCAAGAAAACCATTGGGAAAAAATTGAAAACTGTCCTGAGTAAAACGTTATGCTATTGCACATAAAATTCAAAGAAAATTTTTTGGTTTTTGTTTTTTTTTTAATAATGTAGCACCTGATGAAGAGTTCAACATGTTGGTTTGTCCATCAGTCCAGATGCATCATCAACTAAAGGAAAACGGGGAGAAATTTATCCTCACTGCAATAATAGCTGTCCTTGTAGGTAAGTTAATATAATGTAGACCCAGTTAAATTCTGGTATTCTCAGTGCAAGTCATGTACACCATAATTTGATAGTAATTGTTACAACAGTTTAACAAGCACTGTTTTGTAAGTGTTAGAGTTAAAATAACATATGTTCAGGAGAAATGGTGTATGTTTGTAAATTAGGCTTTCTTAACAAGCAATTATATTCTTGAAACTGAAGAACATGATGAAAATATTGAGTCTTTTAAGTGCAGACTGGAAAAAAATGAAATGAATATGATATTTAGATCTTATGGTTTGATAGGACTCGTTGCTGTTTTTGTGTTCATATGTGTTTGTGTTTGGATAAAACGGAGGAGGGGGAGGAAGTCAGATGAGACCAAGACAGAACAGGGAACCAGTAAAGATATGGTACAGTATCTTTATATTACTCTGTATATGGTATTTATTTTGCCATGATTACTAGAATTAGAAATTTCTTTGAAATTATTTTAAAAAGATTCTTACTAAAAGATAATACATGTGAATACAGTTTTGGTTTGGTTGCTTTCAATCTTAAACAAATTTAGAAAACATAAGGATACAATTCTGTAAATGAAAGGCGAAGAGTAAAATCTAGGGGTTACTTTTATCTTTCTATCATATGAGTATATACAGCGACAGTCTCATCAGAGACTTCAAGTTTCCAAAGGTACACATGTTTCTTTTAAATCATACAAAACACATATTTTCTCAAATTTATGACATATGTTACTAAACAAGCCTATAAACTAAGTTTGAAATTTCCTTTTTTTAAAGTTTGCTCAAGTTAAATCCATACATCAAGAAATCCTGATTTTATGTGACATTTGTTGTTGTAGGACTCTTACACAGAATCCTCATCACGGAGATCCAGTGGTTATGCTTCCATCTCAAAGGTATGTGTATCTGTCCAGTTTGTTGTATTTCTTTTATAAAACTCTGTGTTTCCAATGTAATAACTTAAAAGAGTAGTCATTTTTATTCCCCATGAGGTACAAAATAAAATAAATGTAGTAAAGAAGATTGAATTGGTACCTTGATTCTGAGGAAGTTGATGGGTTTTTTAGGTAGTATGCTGGAGCTCACAAAATAATACCCCACCCCTTCATTAATTGAAGTGCATATTGTAAATATGTGGCCTTGAATTTGCCAAAATGACCTTTGCAAAAAATGTCCCTTGGTCATAAGTAATTTTTGAATGAAATATGGACATGCAATGTTTCTGTTTGACATAATTATAGACCTGTCATGAATTTGACACTTTTTCTACCAATGCCCTTGAACTTGCCATTATGACCTTAGGTCAAGGTAATGAAACACTCTCAGATCAGAAATAATCTTTGTGCCAAGTATGAGCTTCCAAAGATTTTCAAAAGTTATAGACCAGACAAGAATTTTATACTATTTCTGCAAGTTACCTTGAAGTTGCCAGAATGACCTGGGGAAAATTCATGACACACCATCAGGTCACAATAAATCTTTTTACCAAGTATGAGCTTCCAGTGATCTCCATTACAAATTTGTAGCCTGGCAAAATTGCATGAACAGACAGAAGGACAGGGTGATTGCTTTACAACCCCCCCCCCCCCCCCCCCCCAACTTCATTTGCAGGGAGTATATTAATTTAAGAATGGCTAGTCAAATTCAAATGATACTAGTAGAGATTTACAAAATTTAAGCATATCTAATATACAGTCAAATCTCATTATCTCAAACTGAATTGGACCGAGGAAGAGCCAAGAATTCAAGATATCAAGGATAAAATAAAAGAATAAGTGGCTGGAACTTCCAAATCACTTTGATATATCCATGGTATTCAAGATGTCGGTGTTCAAGATACCGAAGTTCAATTGTTTTTTGTTATATTCAGGTGAAAAATTGTACATTGTATTTGGTAATAAGTTTCCTTTAAACATGGAACTCTTATCGTACAGACATTTACAATTATTTCATTTTATGCAGTATGAATTTTCAATATAAAACTTAAAATAAAAACTGTGAAAATGAGTTTTAAAAAAAAGATGGTATTAGTAAAAGATGTGATGTTTTTCTTGCAGAAATCCACAACAGGCTTAAAGGATGAAAGTGGTCAATCCTCAGAACACAGGGCAACATCTCTGTAACTTCATGACATTCCATAATAAAACTGGGATCAGGCCAGGTGTTTAGTTTTCTGTAACAAGACATTCCATAATAAAACAACTGGGATCAGGTGTTTAGTTTTCTGTAATGTAACATGACATTCCATAATAAAACTACTGGGATCAGGTGTTTAGTTTCTGTAACATGACATTCCATAGTAAAACTACTGGGATCAGGTGTTTAGTTTTCTGTAATGTAACATGACATTCCATAATAAAACTACTGGGATCAGGTGTTTAGTTTCTGTAACATGACATTCCATAGTAAAACTACTGGGATCAGGTGTTTAGTTTCTGTAACATGACATTCCATAGGAAAACTACTGGGATCAGGTGTTAAGTTTCTGTAACATGACATTCCATTGTAAAACTACTGGGATCAGGTGTTTAGTTTTCTGTAACATGACATTCCATAGTAAAACTACTGGGATCAGGTGTTTAGTTTCTGTAACATGACATTCCATAGTAAAACTACTGGGATCAGGTGTTTAGTTTTCTGTAATGTAACATGACATTCCATAATAAAACTACTGGGATAAGGTGTTTAGTTTCTGTAACATGACATTCCATAGTAAAACTACTGGGATCAGGTGTTTAGTTTCTGCAACATGACATTCCATAGTAAAACTACTGAGATCAGGTGTTTAGTTTCTGTAACATGACATTCCATAGTAAAACTACTGGGATCAGGTGTTTAGTTTTCTGTAACATGACATTCCATAGTAAAACTACTCGGATCAGGTGTTTAGTTTCTGTAACATGACATTCCATAGGAAAACTACTGGGATCTGCTGTTACAGTTTTCTGTAATGTAACATGACATTCCATAATAAAACTACTGGGATAAGGTGTTTAGTTTTCTGTAACATGACATTCCATAATAAAACTACTGGGATCAGGCCCCAAGACCATAAACTGAAAACAGACTTAAGTCAAAATTTTGATTTTTAATATCTTGAGTTTTATTTAATGTATTTGCTTCAAAATTTGCAATGTTGTATATTTCAATTCAAATATACGATGAAAATTTTGTTTCAATATCAAAATTATTTTAAAAGTTATGATAGTTTGAAATTTTGACTTAAGTCTGTTCTCAGTTTATGGTCTTGGGGCCAGGTGTTTAGTTTTCTGTAACATGACATTACATAGTAAAACTACTGGTATCAGGTGTTTATTATATATATAAATATTATGGGCCTGAATGAAGTTTTTATGGCAAGAAATGAGCAGAGAATGTGGGAAAATGACTACATTGTACTTTGAATTGGACTTTTGTTAACTCACTAGAGCTTGTGCATATGAAAGCACAGTATCCATAATGGTACCTGCAAGCTTAAAACATTTCGGTCTTGGATAGCAATTTAATGCAAAGGTACAGAAAAATGTCATTTAATGAAATATTACATCAGTCTTTCGGGAATTGTTATTTCGTTCCCTTTACATCTTGGATTACAAACTCACAAGAACTTGTGCATATGAAAGCACAGTATCCCTAATGGTACCTGCAAGTTTAAAACATTTCAGTATTGGATAGGAATTCAATGCAAAGGTACAGAAAAATGTCATTAAATATTACACCAGTCTTTTGGAATTATTTCGTTCCCTTTACATCTTGGGTCACAAAACTTCCTGTCACTGTTATGATGAGGGAGATGATTACACAAACAATCGTTATTATACTGGCATTATAAATGGATATATGTACTCTATGACTGGGTGATGAGGTAGACAGTTTTGTCTATAAATAGTCGAAGACCAGTGTGGTCTATGACATTTCGATAGACACATGATCCGGGTTCTCCGCAATCTCTAATTCTTTCAGTGCTTCCTTCCGTTCCATGTCTAAGAGTCTTTTTCTCTCTCGACGTTTTATCCTTCGTTCTTCCATTCTGTGAAGCGCTTTGTCCACTTTGATTTGTAGTTTATTCTTTTTCTCCTGTCTTTTTTTACGTCTTTCCATTTTCCGTCGGTGTTTTTTCCTAGCTTGACGCTCAAATAATTTTTTCTTTGCTAAATTTTGAAGTTGTTTCTCTGCTGTTTAAAGAATAAGTAGGTAAGAGTGCATTCAAGATGTAACAGAATGTTTCTAGTGAATAGTTGACATAATGCTAACACATAACATTTATAATCAACAACTACAAACAATAGTTAATTTTTAATGTTAGTGGTGGATGTATAGGTTTGTAAAATAGTGAAGGGAGGGTCTCTCCCTAAAGTATACTTACTACTGCTGTTTTTCTTGCATTTGGACACAAGTATGGAACAGGCCGAAACTGATAACACAAATATTATTGCAATAGGAATAGCCATCACTGTTTGAAACTTGGACACCTTACCCACAGGATCTAAACCAAAAAAAGAGACTTTTTTTTAAACATCTTTCACCTTGGTTCAAAACAAACATAGGGGGTGTCATGTTTAACTATAAGTGATTTTCTTGATCTGTAGAAAAATGTACATTTTATAAACTATTTAAATAAAGATGGTTTCATTTTTATATTTTTTTTTCCCCATTTTAATCCGGTTTTTTCGTCACTGGGAAGTGGGAAGAAGAAGATATAATTTCAAGATGGGGTTTTAGCTCTGCTCGGTTTTGTGTGTGTGTGTGTGTGTGTTGCCTTGATTACTGAAAATAGAAATTTCTTTGAAATTCCTTCAAAACGCAATCGCACCAGTAGTTTTGATCTGATTTTAATAAAAAAAAAATTCTACGCAAGTAGACTAAACTAAGATGCACGATTCTTTTTATCGGTTTTTGATTTTGACAAATTAATGGTGTTGTCATCGTAACTGAAAACAAAAAATTCTATAAAAGTCTTTCAAAGTGCTACTCCTCCTACAGTTTTGGTCCGATTTCAATAAATCCTGGTAACAAATACATGAATAACACTAAGAAGCATAATTTTGTTGATTGTTTTTTGCACAAGTTTATTTTAACATAAGATCTTGTCATGGCTACTAAAAATAGAAATTTCTGTGATTTTTATTTCAGTACCCTACTCATCCTACAGTTTTGGTCGGATTTCAATAAAAAATTCTATACAAGGTTATTCCAATGTAAAATTTACCTTAGCTTATCTTATCCCCTGGAGTCATGACTCATACAAACTTGTTTGGATATTATGATTTCGCTCTATCCTTATTCATGAATTCATGAAAAGAAAGTTATTAAAGATTTCCTCTCATATTCACTTTTATAACTATAAATTGTAGTTTTACCGTAGATTAACCTTTCACCTTTTGGTTTCAAAATCGATAGAGGTCTGTCCTAAGTTGGAGTCATCACCTTTAAGTTTCATTGCAAAAGCTCAACGATAACTAAATTATCATCTGGAAACAACTACATGTAAATGCAACATAAGAATTTCTTCCCTGGTCTTTAACCTTGACTTTAAAAATCAATAGAAGTTAGGATATAAAATATTAAGATAACCTAAAGTTTCTGACTGGAAACCATTTTTGCACTACAATGTATATGAATACTGACTCCAACATCAATAGGGGTCATTTTTAAATCATAGGGAGTTGTAGTATAAAATTTCATTGCAAAAGCTCAAAGGTACCTTAAGTTTCCATTTGGAAACTATGCAGTTGACCTCAATATATCAATAGGGGTCCTGAGTTTTTGGAGTTGTGATATAAAATTCCATTACAAAAGCGTAAGGTCTCTGAGATATTTAGAAACAAGTGTTACAGACGTAAGAATAGATTCCCTGTTTTAAGAAAAACCAGGAACAAATAATAATTCATTTTGTATGTATTTGTATTCTTAATTGACCTATAACTATTTGTGTCAAAGCTTTTTTATGCAACTTGTTCAAATCGTTGCCCGTAATGTTTGGATGAAATTTAAGCTACACGAGGGAAAAAAATAGAGAACAACAGAGCCCCAATCAGACATTAATCAGTACATTAATCTTTGCTCAAATGATGACCACTTCTAAAATGAGACATAACTCGGGGGCGCAGTTTTGCATATACCGGAGAAGTGTCATTATGATTCATCCTCAAATGTTGTTCAAATCTTGATCTCGACGTGACTACAATAGGAGGTAGATTTTTTTTGCATAGAAAAAAAATCGCCCTTAAACAATAAAATGCTTTCTTTGGTTGTTAGTACGGGAATTAATGTCGCAGCTGTTGCAGAAAAAATGCATAACCCGCGTAAGCGGGTTGTGTGAATTTTTTTCTGCAATAGCTGCGACGTTAATCCCCGTACTAACAAACAAAGAAAGACATTTTATTGTTTATATTTATATCTTTTTAAAAAAAAAAAAAACATTCAACGTAGATTAAATATGTCAAATATTGTGTTATAGCTGTGTATGTCATTGTATACAAAATTGATGGAACAGCCATTGCTTAAGAAATCTATGCAGGTGGCTTGCTTAGTGTTGTTTATGGACTGATTAATGGCAATGGTTTTTATAAGAAATAAAGGAAATAATATTCAGTGGATGTAAATATAAAAACATGATCACAATTTACCTTGATATGAAAGCACCTTCATGTGGCTATTTGTACTTTACGGAAATGAGCGATAATCTTTCATGTCGCAACTAATTATCACCCGCTTTTTCTAAAAGCAGAGGATATTAATTTTAGTTTGTCCGTCCCACTGTCTGTTATTCTGTCGGTCTATAACACTTTCGTTTCCAAAAGATATCAAAAAGTCAAGTTTTGAAATGAAATTTATATCATCACTCCCTATAACTTAGGGACGACCCCTATTGATTTTGAGGTAAAAAGTCTACATTAAGAAATGCATTTATTGCATTAAAAAGGTTTCCAGATGATAACCTCAGTCTGCGATTTTTACAAAACTCCCTACGTCTTTCAGAAGATTTCTATCTAGTTTAATATGAAAATGTCAAGGTCAGAAATTTATACATTGCATAAATGGTCCCCAGATGGTTCTTTAGTTCTATTTCAGCTTTTACAATGGAATTTTATTTCAGAACTCCTCGTGACTTAAGAGGTCAAAAGGTCAAGATCAGAAATTCATATATAGCATAAAATGGTCTAAAGATTAAAAAAAAAATTCTCTTTGAACTTGCAATAATTTTTTTTAATCGTAACTCCCTCTGATTTAAATAAACTCCCATTGATTTTGGGGTCAAAGGCAAGGTCAGAAATTCATACATAGCATGAAGTAGTTTCCAGATCTTGACCATAAAACTATTTATTAAAATAAATTTTTATATTATACTTGAAATAAACAATGCAAATCATACAATATTCAATTTTTAAAACTGGACACAGAATCATAAAGAAACCAGATTTATAGGGGACAATATTTCTTGTAGTGGAAAGATATTTAAATGAAAATTCTTGAAATCTACACATTTATTAAATTTAATATCTTGGAACTTTAGTCCTACATATTTTTACTCAAAGCATTTTTTTCGTTATTATATGCTAGGAATATTAGATATAGGTGAAATGAAATATGGAGATAACGAGCAGTATTCAAGCTCAAAGTCCATTAAAACAATAGAAATCGGGAGCAGAGCAAACATGGATCTCAAAAAACGTCAGAGGGGAACAGGTGCCATGAAGGAGTGAGCATCCCCTGTCGACCAGTCACACCCGCCGTGTTCTCCTTGTCTCCTTGTGTAAAATGATGACCTAACAATTAGTATGAAAAATGTCAGTCAATATTTGACTGTACTAAGTTGTATTTGCTGACATGGTCATTGTATCGACCACAAAACTTGCGAAATGATGACTTCAAATGTTTCATCAACTTGTTTGTCAATAACTTGCCTCGTTTTAAAAATTGTTCATACTTAGATCATGCTCTTGCATATCGAATCAACTGGGAGACAAAAACCCCATATGCAGGTGCTAAGGTTATATTGCTACATAAGGTAGGGAAGTTGACGATTGAAAAATTGAAGTCATCGCGTTTATCATAAAGCTTTGTTGTTAGGTTACCATTAATGTCTTTTTCTAGTAAAACAGGTTTCAATTAATATATTTAGAACAATTTTTACACATTCACTCAACAGGCTTTTCCAAGTAATGAAGCTATATTGAAGAAGTCAAGATAAAATTTACACTGATTTTTGCCTAAAAATTGCATATTTTGACCAATATCTCAAACTTTACATCACTGGCCCCATCTTTTTCTTTCAGTATTTTAAACTACACGATACTTCCAACCGATCAGCATCATAAAAAGCTTGATACAAAAAAATATTTTATTGCCAATTTAGATTTTTAATACCCCAAATCACAGGTACTTGGGTCTTGGTTTATAAATGTGTATGTATACCTTATTGATACGTAAAAAAGTACTTTTTTTACATATCAATAAGGTACATACATATTTATAAACCAGGACCCAAGTACCTGTGCCCCAAATTTGATACTTTTTCAGTTCAAAAAGGTCACACGATAATTTATGCGCATTAATTTGCATGATTTGTTCAATGATATTAAAATATTATTCAAACAATTTTACGTAAAATAAGATTATATTTATTGCCATGATTACATCTGGTAAAATATGATAAAGTTAAAGTGAATAACCTAATAGTGCAAAAAGGTCAAGTTCATTGTATCGTTGCTCAATAAGATGCACACTGGCCCCCAATTTTGTTTGCGATTTTGAGTCATGCTGTATGAGTACTTATCTAAAATATACTTCTCAAAAAATCCTTGATATAACATTTCACGAGTGACATACTTTAAGCTAACGAAAATACAAATGAACTATATATGCAACTTTTTTAAGGGATGCAAAGTTGCTAAGAAATCTTCTACGTTTAGTTGACAGGCGAAGAGGGGTAAATGGGGGGGGGGGTATGAAAAGGAAATACTAAGAGATAGAAAGTTTAAGAAGATTGAGGGTGTTATACACTTACACAATTCAATTGCTGGTTTAATATATAGATCTCTCCTTGTGATGGTTTTAAACGTTGAAGATGTTATGTTTCCAGTACTACAAATGTAAAAAATATATATGTATAAATTGGTCATGATTACTTTTAATATAAAATTATATAATTCTGTTGGAAATATCATGAAGAAAACACCCGACATTCTCAGAAACTGTCACTAATCTCGGCTGAAATTCGGCTCGGCATGATATATTTGGACTACTCAGTGTTACCGGCTTAGAAGGCGTAAATCCTAATATATTGCTGTCGCCCGCTTGCCGCAGTTGCTAAGAGTCGTTTTTCTCTATGAAGTAAAACCTTCGTCCATGTAAACCGTACTTACACCGGCTATCTTTCCCTTAGGCACGGATTTTACCTTACTGTAATTAAGGACCAAGCTATGTCACTGGAATTATGATTAAAAAGGCTTTTAGCACTAAATTCAGTATTGTAATGTTTTACCTGATATTGGTTACGGAGGAACAATCAAATGAGCCGCTAGGCCTATGATATCCTTTCCGACATTTACGCACACACATATATGAGGGGGTTAACTCTTGTCCTTGAGGACATATATATTTCACACACATAAAGTCTGTCTGGGACGGAAGAACACAGGAGGTGTTTAGTGGGTTTTCTTGGATGAACTTTTCTATCACCCAATCGTCAGCGTTATCACATCGACAAAGTCTGTCTGACGTCATACTGCCGTCTTCGCAGACGACTTCTCCAATTCCATTACATGACGATTTTTTCCGATCACAGAGAGAGGATGACTCGTGGCTCCATCGACCCAGCGGTTGATAAAAGCCATATGGACAAGGTTTCGGTACTATGGTGTTCTTGTCAAGGGAGAAAAGTGCTAATGTTCCTGGAAAAAAAACGTTGATAATTACAGTTGCATCCTATGTAGTGGTGTAAATCAAATGACGAGAAATTGATAAAAATCTCTAAGAGAAAATTATGTTGTTAAATAACATGCATAACAACATGTACTTTGAAGTGTCATATTAGTTTACATATAGTATTTCTCACTAAGGGCTATGACGTAAACGTTAATAATTTACCCTTTTCAATCCATGTAGCACTCTTATTGCAGAATTCTACATATCCGCCGTCCTCCGTCCGTAAACAATGATAGTATGACATATTTCCACATCTAACCAAGGAACTTTGTTCTCTGGTACTGGGATCAGTTGGACATGACTCCACAAACACGAGAGTGTTCGAAGTGTATGTCACTTTTTGATGTATGAACGTTCGCAAAGGTACACACCAAATAACTGGAACCACGAATAACAAAACATGGAGAAGATGCATTTTGAGGTCAAAGTTCCACGGACAGACGGGTCTGTGTTAGATCAAATCTAAGAACCATTTAAGAAAGCAGAGTCATGATCCGTCAGAATTATTCCTCATATTTTCATTTTTAGATATTTTAAATGAAACTCACAAATATTTGATGGCAAGGTTATCTATTCTATGTCACAACAGATACATCTTTCGTGTATGGATTGGGCCACATTAAATTCCATTATGTAACTCATTTCTAAACAATTAAGAAATAATTAAGACACAGTTATGTTAACGAATTTAAAGACTATCGCTTTGATCTGAAATTTGACCTGCCCTCCCTGCTAATGAATACGACTATCGACGCATATATCTTCCCAGAGTTGAATATACATGCTCTTGTAGACATTTCTGCTGACTGACTATCGGGGGTACATGGACCTTTGAAAAAATTCGACGTTATTTTTATGTCTCGTGAATAATTTTACACACGTATATTTCAGTGGTGATCTATATCACTGCGTGACAAGATAAGGGATCCAGAAGCACAGAATCATCGCATGTTTTATGTCCTTTTTGCTTTTCTGAAAGAAAATGAATATCCACTTTAAATATCATGAGTTTAATATAAAATCTCTCACCTCAACCTTTTAGCTCACCAGAACCAAAGACCCGTAATTTTTCCAATATTACCCATTTTTACACAGGAACCTAGAGTTTATGACCTTCTTTTGTATTAAAAATGGATGCAAACCTTCAATCATGGGAGATCACATAAAAAGAATTTTTTTTTTTTTTTTAAAAAGTCGATTCTAATAAAATAAATCTTTTCAAGAACTAGATTTTCACCAACCTAGGTATCACGCTAAGACAAAGTGTGTGATATTACATATATATACATCAAAGTTCATCCAAAATGATCCTTCTTTCAGATGTTGATATTTTGCTATGAGAAACCTTGTTAGTTGTTCATCTTAGAGAATCAATTTAAAAATTGTGTTTGCTGTACATGTAGGACACTGAATAAACAAGGATGTCTAAACACTATTGATACATATTACATTGGCGGATCCAGAAGTGGGGGGTCCAAGGGTTGGACCCCCCCCCTTTATTTTTGGAGAGAGGGATTTTTCTTCTGTAATATATTTTCACGTCTAATATTTTGAATAAAATAAGTACATGTAGTTCAATCTCTGCCCTTTCTGCTCGCTAGATTGAGTTTCGCGTATTTACTTTCCTACGTGAACCTCCACAACCCCGGCCCCGGGCCCCAACCACCCACAAGTAACATGCAAGTTTTCACTTTGATATCATCGGAAGATTCCGGCGAACGTCAGCTTTGGACCATCTTCTGAAGTAACCAACATAAGTCACGAAAGGGAATATGCATAAGAGAATATTTCTCTCCTGATATTATGGGAATATTTTTAATTAATAAATGAAGAGAAAGGTTTAAAATTTCCCCGGGGTATGCGGGGGGGGGGGGGGGCTTACTTTGCTGTAGTTTTAATATGCAAGTTTTGATTTGTATCCCCCCCCCAATTTTTGTTGCCGGAAGGTCAAAATACGCAAAAGCCCCCCCCCCCCCCCCGGATTTTAAAATGCGGTGCACAAAATATATGTTTGTTTGTTTTTGCTCGTCAACTCTTTTTAGAAGTTGCCCCCTTTGAAAAACGTTGCAACGGACTTGAAGTGCCTGTGGTGTGATTCTTTGCATGAGTATTTGGGGCACCGACCTGGAATCCCCCTTTCAAAAATTGCTGGATCCGCCTCTGTATTAGAGCAACGGGCGATCGAGCTTCACAATTTAATTATTCCTTGTCAAATTTCTTTGTCTGCATATATAGGCCATCTAAGACCACAATTATCTTTTTTTTTATTTCATTAGATGTAACTTAAGGGTGGGTCCATGCAAATAAAGGTGATAATAACGTATAGATTCTTAAATCAATTACTGCTATTCTTTTCAAAGCTTTTGGGCAGCATATTGGTATGTCCTGTGTGTCAACCGTTAAGAGATCCTAATTGTGTACTTTCACAATTTTAAAACAATATTCAATATCAAATACTTAGCTTACTTGTCCATTTTAAGGTCTTGGCATTTTATGCTTTAAGCTTTAAACAGGTAATCATTGCAGCGAGTATACAGTATCTACCCAGATCAGTCTTTTTGACTATGTAGCTTACATCATTAGATGCAGCTTATAATTAATGGAATTCTTAAACATATCTGCTCAGTTCATCAGATGAGCTTTCCTGGGTCATTCTATTTTTTAGCAAGATTGCACAGTTTATATTTTTTCCTTTTATTTTATCCAAATATCATTATTTCGTAAGTATTTAAGTTATTCATCCTTGGTATTTATTCTGCTTTATCGAAGATATTCTAGTAAAATCTGTGCATGCACAGACAGTGCTCGAATTTACGTAGAACTCATTACGTTGACCAATTTCACTTAATTAATAAAGATTTGTGAAATAAACCGAGATTGTATCAAGCCTTTTGAATCATACCGTTTATCAAAAAGTACAGTGTCTCTATCCTGAAATTTTTTATTTGATGCAGTTAAAGTCAGTGGAAATCCTCCAAATTTTGTGAAACCTCAACGTGTAATTCCAAATATAGTACTGAGAGTTTCCACTGGGGAAGTTGTATTGATGTCTTAAATGTATTTTGTTTTCCAAAAATAAATTTCTTACCTAGTATTTTCCATGCTTGTGAATCTTTCTGAACTATTTTATATACCAGATAGATCTTTAGGGCGTTTTATTTCTGGGTTTGTACACGCTTCGTTGTTTTCCTATTTCGATTTCATGACATATCTTTTCTTTTGACTGTAGATCTTTTACAAAGTTAGCGATGCATGGTCTGTTACCCGTATAATTTTTATGACAAAATGTCAGGTCTACAAGTTTCAACTTTCATGGATGATAAGTGCAAACCGCTGAGACGGATTGTCTTCAATTCTTGTTAATCAATGGACTTTACGTTCTCGAGTAACACTTCAAGGGACTACATTTAAATGGACACGACCCAAGAAGGCCTCTGTCTTAGCAGAAATTAACAAAGTACTTGGTGTGTATCCTCAGTGGAATGAAATTAACGTGGAATTCAAAAATGACATGTTAAGGAAGCTCTAAACACTGCACACTAAAGAGTTCTACTTGTAGGATAGTTTCTTGCAGTTAGAGTGATCTGCCCTTAGAAGTAAGATAGAAAAATGGTTATTTATAGTTAATTAATCAATTTGTAATGGATTAGAATATTCTTAGCATTATATTAGACCAAGAATAAGTAAATGAATTCATTATTCCCATTAATTTACCAATTGTAAGTAAACAACAGTGATTTGTGTTCATGAATAGTCCATTGTCTTTGAACATTTTTCCTGCGGAAATAAGGCAGTTACCCTATTTTGAAAATGAACTAAATAGTCTCAATATACACACCTTTATATGATGTATTTTTCTCCAAGTCCAAAAAGCACTTTTTGTTATAGTGTTTACTGTTTAGAGCTTCCTTAACCTGTGCCATAAAGCAAAAAGTCTACACCTGCTACAAGATATTGTTTCCTATGTTTGATATGCATGCAAATCTTTCAGAAAGAATGAAAATTAATTCTATCTTTGAGTTTTAACTAACTTGAACTTAACATGTAAAAGAGAAAGTTTTAAATCCAAAAAGCATGCTTTCCACGGTTTCATGTGCATTGGAGTTAGATTTCAATGTTTCAAATTAAATTTAATTAATAAATGATAGTTCCAAGACGCAGATACTTCTGACGATTTTTCAAAGAGTGAAAAATCTTGTTAATCTCCCAACTACAGCGCTGTATATCAAACCTAAGGCTGCGCTTTTCTTTCTAGCGCCTTTTCTTTCTGGCAATTCTTACAAATGGCATGATTCAATTGCCGCACAGAACTTATACTGTGTGCCCCACCCTATCCCCAGGGGTCATGGTTTGAACAATTTAGCACCTACACTATATGTCATGGGGCTTACACAGGTGATCAGAAATGCTTTCTTGAGCCCTTTAACATGCATTTTCTAGACATACCAAGGGATTTGAAAAAAAGACCTCAATATTTCATAGAGGGACAATAATGCATAAACAAGTAATTGATATGTTTTATTATCGTCTAGAATAAATCAATGTTCCAACCATTAGAGCATTGCTAAGCATTTTGCTTACAATTGAATTACACAATAAGTGTTTCAAACAAAGCATTCTTTGCACTTTTGCATATTACACAATTGTTAGATTAACGAGATAGGTATACATGTATTTGTTCGACCATGAGGAGTGTGGATATCAGAAAAACAAAATATATAGACACCCAGCGTTAAATAAAAATGAAAGAATCTAACTCATCCCCCATCCCGAAAATACAAGCATCATTTGATATCGGTAGATTACAGAACAAACACGATGTGCATTTTTACATTGGCACGTGTAAATCTTTTTGTTTTATGTCGAAAATGGTCTTTGGCCATAGGAATAAGTGTTTACTTCACGTGTAGAAATAAATGTCCTCATGCTGTCACGACTCTTATGAATCTTTATAGCCTGTGAACGAGTTTCTATTGTATGAAAACAAAAATTCAAGAGTAACTTCAGCATTAGATTTTATTAAGTATCAAATTGTGCCAGAGAATACTTTTTAAAAGGAAAAATTATCATTCTGTAGTAAATAAAAAATGTGCGTCTTTGGATTGTGCGGGGATTGAACCTAAACGATAAAAATAGAGCAAGCAAGCAAAATAAACAATAAATAAAACTTCAAAATTCTAGAAGTGTTTGACAGTGAGACCAACACATTCAACTTAGCCCCTCAACTTATACCACATACTGTCAACTAAATCCTCTAATATATACATGTAAGACCCCGGATAACTGCACTCCAAATATACTGAAACGTCTTTTAGCATATGATGGGTCCTTAATCCACTGAAAAAAAAATTAGTGAAATTCAGAAGACAGATTTTCAATGAAAGATCCAAACAAATGGGAAAACTGTATTATACATGTAGTATGGGGAAATGGTCAAATTTGCCTGCTTTGCATAGTGTATGAATGCTATTTTATTAAGAATACTTTGGTAACTAATGAGATTGTAGAATATTCATAATATGTTGTAATAAGACTGCAGTTTTTCCGACTCTGGAATCTTAATGCCTACGACTTGGATGAAGCATAATTTTTGTTTTTTTTAGCTCACCTGAGCCAAAGGCTCAAGTGAGCTTTTCTGATTGAGAGGTGTCCGGCGTCTGTCTGCCGTGTGTCGTCTGTAAACTTTTCAGATTTTCGACCTCTTCTCAAGAACCACTGGGCCAATTTCAACCAAACTTGCAAGGGTCATGCCCTCTTTCAAGGGGAGATAATACAGAATTGGTGAAAATTTAATGGCATCTTTTAAAAATCTTCTTGAGAACCACTGTGCCAGAAAAGATGAAACTTATATAAAAGCTTCATTACATAGTAGTTGTAGATTCAGGTTTGTTCAAATCACGACCCTTAGGCCCTAGATGGGGCCACTATAGGAGATCATAGTAATACATAGGGATATATAGGTAAAAACAAATCACTAGAATAGCAAAGTCATGATTAGTTATATTAATTACATCCCCAGGCAGTGTAGATTTATGTTTGTTCAAAGCATGACCCTCGATGGGAGGATGGGGCCACAAAAGGGATCAAAGTTATACATAGAAATACAAGAGGCCCATGGGCCTTGAATCGCTCTTCTGATAAACTGTACAACCTATCACTTCTATTTGAAGCCTCGAAGTATCCTGTATATTTACATGAACCCTTGAAATTCCAATTCACACTCTGAGAACCCAAGATGATTCTAAGCCAATTAGTACCTGAGAGTTGGTCATGGTGACCTACTTATCACTTGTCATTCTCTGAGGACCCATCAACTAAGTTTGATGATTCTAAGCCAATTAATACCTAAAGTATTTTTTAAAATTATAATCGTAAAATTTTATAAGTAAGTCAAAGTGACCTACTTTTCAATTGTTTTACTCCAAGGACCCAAGATGCATCAACTGACAAAGTTTGATGATTCTAAGCCAATTAGTACCTGTAATATTTAATTAAAGCCATAAATTTTCAAAAGTAGGTCACCGTGACCTACCTTTCAGTTGTTGTATTCCGAGGACCAAAGATACATCGACTGACAAAGTTTGATGATTCTAGCCAATAAGTACCCAAAATATTTAATTACAGCCATAAATTTTCAAAAGGAGGTCACAGTGACCTACTTTTCAGTCAACCTACTCCGGGGACCAAAGATGCATCAACTGACAAATTTTGACGATTCTAAGCCAAATAATTCCTGAAAATATTAAATACAGCCATAAAACTTCAAAAGTAGGTCACCGTGACCTACTTTTCAGTTGTTGTACTCCGAGGACCCAAGATGCATCAACTGACAAAGTTTAATGATTCTAAGCCAATTAGTACCCGAAATATTTTATTAAAGCCATAAATTTTCAAAAGTAGGTCACCGTGACCTACTTTTCAGTTGTTGTACTCCGAGGACCCATGACGCATAAAATGACAAAGTTTTATGATTCTAAGCCAATTAGTACCCGAAATATTTTATTAAAGCCATAAATTTTCCGAAAGTAGGTCACGGTGACCTACTTTTTAGTCGACCTACTCCGAAGACCCATGATGCATCAACTGACAAAGTTTGATGATTCTAAGCCAATTAGTACCTGAAATATTTAATTAAAGCCATAAATTTTCAAAAGTAAGTCACGGTGACCTACTTTTTAGTCGATCTACTCTGAAGACCCAAGATGCATCAACTGACAAAGTTTGATGATTCTAAGCCAATTAATACCTGAAATATTTAATTATAGTCATATAAATTGAAAAGTAGGTCACGGTGACCTACTTTTCAGTTGACCTTTTTTGAAGACCCAAGATGCATCAACTTACAAAGTTTTATGATCATAGGACTTAAAATGTCCAAATTATGCCTCTAAAACGCTTTGAAATCGAATGCCTGCAAAGTTCAAAAAGTAGGTCACTGTGACCTACTTTTTAATAAACATGTTTTATGGCCCCAAGATGCATCATCTTACAAGATTTAATGATTCTAAGCCTCCCCGTATTCGAATTAATGACCTTAATTGTTTTAAAAATGATTAGCCATAAAATTCAAAAAATAGGTCAAGGTGACCTACTTTTTAGTTGACGTACTTTGAGGACCCATGATGCATCAACTGACAAAGTTTGATGATCATAGGCCTTAAATTGTTCAAAATATACCTCTAAATCATTTTGAAAAAGAATAGCCGCAAAATTTAAAAAGTAGGTCACCGTGACCTACTTTTGAGTCAAAATGATATGAGGTCCTTAGATGCACCAACTGACAAGATTTGATGATCCTAGTCCTTATAGTAAGCAAAATATCAACATTTTAATAAAATGTAATTTTTGGTCAACTTTGAAGTGACCTTGAGACCACGCCCTTTGCCCCAGGGTAAATCCCCGTGCAAATTTTAATCTACAACATATCCTCATCCTTTTGTGTAAGTTTGGTGATAATCTGCCCAGTGGTTCTTGAGAAGAAGATTTTTTAGCAACCAGTACTTTTGTTTCTATTTTCCTAATTATCTCCCCTTGTTAAAGGGTCACAACCCCAGTTTTAGTATAAAAGGGAGCCCTTGGGCCAAGGATACCCTGTGACAAATTTGACAATAATTGGCCAAGGGGTTCTTGAGTTATGGCCCATATTCTAAAAAGTTTACGCACACCGCACAAATGGCCATAGCATTAGCTCTTTGAGCCTTTGGCTCAGAAGAGCTAATAAAGAAAAAGTCTTTCAAAATCTTCTTTAGAATAGCAAAGCCATGATAAGTCACACTAATACACAAGCATCCTCAGGCATTTTGTCCAAATCTTGACCCTGGGGTTAAGTAAATGCTCCAAGATTTATAAAAATCAGACTTGATTTTGGTCTTTGAAAAATGCAACAATTTTAGGAAATGTAACAACACAACTGCATTACCTCCATGTTTTAAAGAAACAAATTTTTCAATGTTTATTATAGCTTTTTAATCTTTAAATGGAAACACACTCTTATCTCATCCTCAATATCAACAATCATCCATTGGAGATCTCCAATAACACAAGGAAAATCTACTAACATATAAAATAATGTCGGTTTTCACTCCAGTCTTTTTAATTTACTGTACTTAGAAATGAAGGGTGAAAAACTTGTGCAGCGACTCAAAACCCTTAATTAAAATTTATAAGCATTAGTTAATTACAGTAAATATAAAATCAACAGATATAACATACTCTACAATATACAACATACTCAAAATATACAATGTGTGTGCATATAAAATGAACTTCAACAAATAACAATGCCTCAGTGTAAACATAAACAGTTTACTTTGTTTTGTTGTAAACATATTTTCAATGCAGACATACAGAGATCAATAATCAATAGCACTTCTTTATGCAAATATTGCAAATTAAGTGGGTATTATGTAAAATAGAATTTTTTTAACATTTTGACTCATTTTTGGCATACTTTAAAGGTGTTGTTTCAATATATTACAGCTTTGCATTTTATGCATATAAATTTTAATATACTAGTATATGATTCTCTAAATTAAAAGTAAGTAAGATTGAGGAAAATTCTACTCACTTAAACAACCACTTATGTTGAATGAAGAACACAAAGCATCAATGATAATGAAATATAACAAAGTAACGAAGATGAATAATGTAGATCACTATATTTTCGCAACACCTTATCTTTGCTAGATAGTTTTTTTGGTATTTTTTAGCGAGACAAAATTTTCACTAGCTGTGATTTCCACTGTATATAATCCTTTATAATATAAATATATGCAAGAATAAAAAATTTTTGTGAGTAGACAGACTCGCGCAATTACGCCAAAATAAAGTTCTCGTAAATAAAAAGTGATCTACAGTAATAATGACCATTAAAACTGATTTTTTAAAATTAAACATGACAAGAATTACACTTGTATAAAACATAATTATTCACAATTCTGTACATTTTGTGCGATATTAAAATATAATTGGCTCTTCAAAGTTTAATGCATGATGAAAATGTCACGTTAAAAGATCAAGACCATTTTCAACCTAAATTCACAACATGAACTTGAAGCAATATAAAACAATTCTACATTCTAAAATCCCAGTAAGCAGACAGACCTAACCGGTTAAGCTTTGAGCATTAAAATCAGCAGTCAGGCAAATAAGAGGGTAGGTATAAAATGACTCAATATATCATAGGATAACTGCTAAAAAGTCATTACATAAAAACTAACCACTGCTAGATCTTCTGACATAGCCTTATGTATCCAGAATATCAATATATCTTAGAACATTTCTTAATCTACCATAAACTTTATTATAAAAAGATATATTATTAATATGTATTTGATGCAGAGTTCTAATTCTTAACAGTATTCTATTCAAGAATTTTACTGACAAGTATTTGATCAACAAACAGTATGTGTACTTCTTAATACATGTAAATAAAACAAAAAAAAAAGGCAAAGATTTATTTTAAAAAGCCTTTTTTAAATTTCTTAGAATCATAATTTCGCACATTCAATATGATTAAAATTGGTAATACAAACTGTAATAAAATTGAATAATTCATGCATTAATTCATTTGGTAATTTTCATTTAAAAAAATTATTTGTATTTGCATCTTAAGAATTTCAAATACTTTGCTTCAAAATGTCAAATACATATATAAATTAAACATAAAACTTTGGACTAAAGGAAATATATGTTGCAATATTTCGTTGACAGAATCAAAGACAATGTATTCTTCATGTAAGATAATAGTCCAATAACAATTGAAAAAAAGAAAGGAGTAATTAGATGCACATACGCTGAACCTAGTGTATTAATATGAAGCCATAGTGTAATAAATTTAAAAAGTATCATCATGGTTATATAAAAACAAGCAGAAAATGTCCTGTACTGTACAACCATATTCAAAAAAGGAGGTGTAAAAACACTAAAAATGACAGCATAAAACAAAACACAACCAAGCTGACAAAGAATTTATATATATAGAGAGAGAGAGAGATGTCATCCTCAGGAATTTTGTGAATGAAGTGTAAGCCACTTGTGAATAGTTGCTGACCCTATTCATACTCAATTTTAGAATTCACACAAAAATTCACCGTTTCTTAAGATCCTCTATTCACTAAGGATTTTTTTTTTTTGGATTTGAGGAAAATTTATTGAAAAGAGGGTGTCACTACTGAGTTGATCTAGTTTATTTTGAACAAAGGGTACCTGTCATTTACCCTCAGGAAAATGTTCAAAGACAACAAAGTATCGATGAACAGAAATCACTGCTTACTTTAGTGAAGAAAATACATACAATGAAAGTATTCAATAAATTTATCTTAGCCCGTTAAAATGTTTACGTGTTTGAATCAATTACAAATACAATGTTTAGAAATACATATACACTGTAGATTTCAATTTATTTTATTTCAGCTTTATTCTAACTGCATAAAATACTATAGAATCAGAACTATTTAGTGTGCTAAATATAGAGGGTTCCTGATTAATGACAAACAACTACTGGTTTTCCTTAATGAAATTTGATTTTCTAACCACCTTAAAAACTTTCCATTGAATTACACAAGCAAGATCTCCCATATCACAGCTTACAGAGTTTAAAAGGGACTCGGACCAGTTCCTAAGGAACCAGTTTTATCACAGGGTCTTTGGCAAGGGGACGTAACTCTGATGTATTATTTAACTTATAATATCGAAGTCAAGCCATGCATACAGGCAACAGTGTCAAACTTTGTGAAACCTCAACAATTCAATTAATTATATTCAATGTTAGCAAGAAATTTTACCTGTTTAAAAATCTAACTTATTTACAGTGATTTTCTAAATGAAACAAATTTTGTATTCCTAATGATTTAGAATTCTGTTCTATACTGTGTACAAAAAAGTGGATATTACTTACATGAAGAACAATAATTATTGGTTCTTATGCTGCTTTATGCTGACTAAAAGTATGGCACACTGTGAACAAATTGAGCTGACAAAATATTATTTCATATTGCTATAAAAGATTGTCTATCAGCTTTGGACCACACTTAAAGGCACCAAAGCTACAAAATGGAAGCCTTCTTTATTCACAAGAATGTGGCCAATGTTAATGGCCTCCACATGACAGTTTTCTGGACGAATTTCTTCCTTTACTTCCAGTTCATTTGAGTTGTTGTTAAGTTTATGGATAACAATAGGAATGTTTAACATTTTGGCCATGGCACTGATTTCTAAATGGTCCGCCCACTTGTTGGCTTCAATACCACTCAGAAAAGTCTCCCATGTCTCAAACACAAAGTCTTTATAAATTTTAGAATTCTTTTCCAAGTATTTTTTGAGCTTTTTCCTGAGAGTGGAAACACCCTGATCATGAACAGAATCACAAAGTTTCAAAACACAGTGGTAGAAACAGCTGCCATCTTTAGGGACATCAGTGACCAACCAGCCCTTCTTTTTAGCGGCCTCCTTCATCTCCTTCATGTATTCATTACAGTCATACTCGTCTTTATCCCCAGATCCAGTCTCCTGCTAAAATAAATTAATTAATCTGACTGAATTAATTTATAGTACTGGATAAAGAAATATTAGTCATAGTAAGCATGAATTCGTGATATCTGAGCAGGGTTGTCCCTAAGACCTGTGGGCGGGAAATTTCCCCGCTAATAATAATGTAATCCCCCAGATACTCTGGTATTTCCTCATCACCCTGTTAAGGGAGGAACCCTTGAGGGGAAATATTAGTCATAGTAAGCATAAATTCATGATATCTGAGCAGGGTTGTCCCTAAGACCTGTGGGCGGGAAATTTCCCCGCTAATAATAATGTAATCCTCCGGATACTCTGGTATTCCCTCTCATCGCCCTGTTAAGGGAGGAACCCTAGATCCCCTCCTACTTTTTTAATGTCCCCTGCAATTTTAATTCTTAGGGACAACCCTGTCTGAGTTAGCTATAAATGCATTTTACTTTAGTTATTAATTTTATTTTACCATTACCTTGTGCGATTCCTTGGGTTTATCGATACTTTGTTCACCCTTTTCACTTTCTAGGCCCTGAAATACAACACTTTCTATTACTTTCAGGGAACTTTATTTTTTAAAGTGTGAGATGTTTTTTGTTAAATAATTCAAAACTCTAGTGGTAATTAACCTTTAAGGGGAACTCCTCACGTAGAATGGATAACTCTAAAATTGTCAAGTCAGTATGAATATCGTACAAAATTTTCTTCTTCAATAATGATTTACCTCAAATTGTGCCGTGACTGCATACAAATTTAGTTAATTTCATTTCTCTTTTGTAAGACAAGAGCCTAAAAGGGGCTTGCTAGGACACAGAACTGATTGAGTTAATATTTCTAAAATTTTCAGTATCATTTCATGTGGCTAGAGCATCTCACATCAAATATTATAAAACTGTGTTTAGAAACTTCTTTTATCTGGCAATTTTCAAAACTATGAATTTCAAGATACATTTGATTGACACATATCCTACTAATTTCATGAAATAAACCTTATCCTTAATATTTAAGAAAACTGGAAAATTTGTTGTGTATTAATGAACAATTTTAAACCTATAATCCAGAGAATTCAGAGTAGAAATGTGACAAAGCAAAATCAATTTACAAGTATTGTTAGTCCACGCTCAGTGATGTGTGCAGAGTAAACAAATTTAACGCATCCAGTAAAACGTAAACATTAACAACAGAGCTTGTGCCCGTGTTTACAAAAATAACACAGATGTTTGATGTGATGTTATGAACAATCTCATTGTAATTGAATTTTAAGAATTTTCATGTAAATTCAGTTCATTAAACTGAAGTTATTTTTTGAATAAAAGTCAAAATTTAAAATAGTAAACCAAATGGAAAATGCAACTAAATTCATTTTAGTCAGCAGTGGCCCTCTGTGGATAAACAAGTAAAGGTGTCATAGACCTTTCTAATGAGAGGAAAATGCACAGTGCTGAGATTGTGGATAAACATGTTACTGTAAGATATCAGGGAGCTTTGAGGTAAAGTTTGTAAACTGGTTTTGTTGATAGATATGTAGAGCAGGCAGTTTTCTGGTGAAAGGAAAGGGCACACAGCTGAGATTGTGGATAAACATGTAGAATTATCAGGGTGATATCTGATGTTATGAAGAGGCACAGTGTAGAGATTGTGGATAACCTTGTAGAGATATCAGGGAACTTTCTTATGGAAAGAAAAGACAAAGAACTGACATTTTGAATAAACATCTCAAGATTTAACATCTCTTTCTGAATAAAGGAAAAGGCACAGTGCTGAGATTGTGGATAAATATATGTAGAGATGTCTGTGAACATTTTGATGTAAGGAAAAGGCACAAAGCTGAGATTGTGGATAAACATATAGAGATATCAGGAAGCTTTCTGAAGTAAGAAAGAGGCACAGTGCTGAGATTATAGTACAATTGTAAATAAACATGTAGAAATATCAGGGAAACATCTTATTTAAGAAAGTAGCCTTTGTTGAAATTGTATACATGTATAAACATGTAGAGATGTTAAGGAGCTATCTTACGTAAGAGAGGTACAGTACTGAGATTGTGGATAAACATGTAGAGATATCTGGGAGCTTACTTGAGCGTATGACTCAGGGGAGCAAAAATGTAATGCAAATAAATTATATACAGTTGAATTTCTGTATCTTGAACATGGATATCTCGAATACCATGGATATGTCGAAGTGATTGGAAAGTCCCAAGCTCTTTTTCTTTAAGTATTTTATCCTCAATATCTCAAACCCACGGACATCTCAGTTTTTTCTCGGTCCCATTGAGTTCAAGATAACGAGTTTTGACTGTATTACATTTTCAACAGCGAAATACTGTAATTTATTTAATAAAGCTGATATTTTGTCACAGTGTGAAGTGAAAGAATATTAGACTCAAGATTTTCCCTCCTTTCACGAAGAGTGTTGTAAAAATATACTCCCTGGTCTGTCATAAGATAGAATATCGGGTAAATAAATTATCCTGACAAGACTAAAACTGCCAAGGTTTCTACAAATATGTTTCTGTTGACAATGTTTTCAATTTTACAATCGTTTAGCTATGATGTCTCAACCACTCAACTATGAAGTCACAATCTATGACACTGTGTTATGAAAGGATACGGGCAAAGGACGAGTCAAAGAAAAGTAATAAACAGAAATTTCAACATTTTATGGTTGAATATGGAATTTATTTCATTCATGAAAAACAATTTTTTGATATTTTCACTCATGTTTTGCACTTGTTAAATTTTTAAAA